ATCGCACGCACTCCACTCAGGTCCTGTTCACTACACACTTGCGTTCACCTCTAAGCGTCACAGGCTCAGCCTCGGCAGAGAGGTGGGGCATCTTTGTAGTGAAGGGTAACCTCCAATCACTTCCCCAGGCCTCGCGGGAGTACCGTCTTTCAGGATTATCCCATATCCTATGGTTCATGAAGAGCACCTGTCCCGGTACTCACCGTGAAGAGCGGGTGGCAGGCCGAAGGCCATTGTTTTAGTCTGCACTGTCTCTCATATTCTTTGATTCTGATGTGGATGCTTCATTTTGTGGTTCCAATATATACTTGGCCACAACTGCAAGGTATCCTGCAGTGATGAGGGGGTCCCTTCTGTCCTTTGCTGTCCATAACATTTGTTGTATTTTTGTGGTGGGCTTGAATACTGTTTGTAGGTTGTTGTTATTTTTCAAAAGTTTCCCCATGCGGTCTGTAACCCCTTTGATGTATGGCAGAAATACTTTATTTGTGGGTGGCTGTTATTCAGTTCGGTGTTGTTTGCTTGGTTTGATGGCTCTTGTGATTTCATTCTTGGAATAGCCATTTGCCTGTAGAGCCCAATAGATGGTTGAGTTCGGTGCTGAGAAATTGAGCTTCATAGTTCCGATTTGCATGGTCTACCAGTGTTTTGATTATGCATCTTTTCTGTCGTGGGTGGTGTTTAGAGTTTTTGTGTAGGTACCAATCTGTATGGGTGGGTTTTCTGTAGACCTTGAGTCCCAAAAGGTCAGGCTTGTGGGGAGCCAAATATCTATAGCTATGCAGGGATGTTGTTCTATATTACCCTGTAATGTTTCCTGTGGTCTGTCCTATCTCACACTTCCAAAGCTATGATTCTATGGCATGAAAAAAGATGCCTGATCCAGGCTCCCTTATTTGGGTGGATGCACATCCCTAGTCCCTTCCAAAGCTATGATTCTATGACATGAAGAAAGATGCCTGATCCAGGCTCCCCGTCTGTCTTCCTTGGTCTAGCTCATACAGTACAGATTTGCTGTGGAGGGAAGTAAACCCTTTCGCCCATTTCAGCCCCTGGGGGGGGGATGTCATTGATAAGCTGTATTGCAATCAGTTACATCAAGTTTGTGCTCTGAAACTCATCATGACACATGGATTGATGTTTCTAGATTATGGTAAGGATATCAGTAAACTGACAAATGGATTTCATTAGCACGTGCAAGGACCTGAGGAATATGTGGGTTCAAGAAGGAGAGTTAGCAGCTACACCTGATACAAGCTTAGTATTTTGTATTGATAGCTGCTTAATATAGGTGGGTTAAGAGTCTCAATGAAATGTCAGCTCAGTGGAATTTAGAAAAAAAGACAACACTACGATTGCTATTACCAACTACCAATTCAGTCAATGGGATTTACCTAAGTGTTCGCTTTCACCAATTTATTCAATGGGTCTACACCCATTGGGACTAATAACTGGATTTAGAACTAAATTTTTGAGCTGCTTGTTTTCATACTTGTAGAATAATTACACTGATAGTTTGCACTTTTCATGCCTCTCCCTGTCCTCCCAATAAAAATATTATTTCTTTGCTCTTATCAATGTCAAGTTTTATACGGCACTCGGAGAGTGGAGAAATTTTAGCTTATTCATGAGTAGCAGAAAAATACTAATATCATTGTCAGAAAGAAAGAAAAACACAAAACAGAACCCCAGCCTGGCCATAGACTGTTGAAATCGCCCTTGCATGATGACGTACATGCCTGGATATGGGGGCAGGGAAGAATCCACCGACAGTAGTGGGATAATCAGATCAGAGCTGATTTCCATCTCTAAGAATTAACAGATGGACTGACTCTTCAGACTTACATAAAAATGATTAAACAAAATCCTGTGTGATTTCTTTCGCCAGACAGGGCAGCTGGCAGCAAAGAAGGTTGAAAAATTCCACTGCCCTCACAGTGGAAAACTACAAGACCCTTGGTGTTATCATAGTCTGATGTAATTAATCCCCTTTTACCCTCCACATTTTAACTCTGAGGCTTCTACATGACCACTGAAATGAAATCAAAGCTTAGTAGTTTTGTAACTTTACAGCAGTGCATGCTGAGGGACAGCCAGGAAAGGATCAGCTGATGTCCACTGTATCTTGATAAGAGCTTTCAGGCACTGTAATGAATGCATAAGTAAAACACTTGTTTAATTGTAATCGGACATTTAAACGCTTCAGTAACAGGATTTGAAGAGGATAGCCAATTTTTAATACGTTAGAATTGTGTGTATAACAAAGAGAAGACAAAAACAAAACTATTCTGGCATCTAAAAGACTAACAGATTCTTCGTGGAATTGAGTCACCTTCCCAAACAGAGCTTCACCAAAAATTGTGTCTTAGTCCACAAAGCATTGGTGATGAGGTTAGAATGCTGGTCAACAATGTATACTCTTAAGGATGGGATCCCCTAAATCAGGCAGCTGGGGAATCTGGGTCTTCAGACGTTCTTGGGCTACAACATCCCTGGGCCCTCGTGAGCACAGCAAGAATGAGAGATTACAGGAGCTGCAGTTTGGCAAAATTTTGAAGGCCACAAATTCTTCATCCCTGCTCTAGAGTCTTAAATGCATGAAAAGACTGTTCTAAATCTTAAATCCTCTTTTCCTATTGTTATTTTCCCCCTTATAATGGGGAATTTTAATGGACAAAAATAACTACAAAAGTAATACATTTCTGCTGTTTACCTAGATTAATGAAACCTAAACATAAGAAGAGTATACTGATAAAGGACTCTGCTGCCCCCATCTGGATGCAAATGATAAACTTCTCTCAAACCATCATTACAACAGGTTCTAACTAGCATCACCAGAGAAGTCAGTCAAACAACAGAATTAGTCTTCCCTCTCCCTTCCTCCCGCCCACCTCCCTTATGCCTCTAAATTAGATCTAAACGGTGTCTCCTCCAATGCTGTAGAACAATTTTTTTGTAGCACATGGGGGACTGGATAGAAGAGAAGGAAGTTGTTTCACCAATAGTGCCCATTGTGTATGTGGGCAGACCTAGAGTTCACCCAGGCTGTCGTACAAAATTTAGTATCTCTTCTAAAGCTCAGGAGAGGTAGTTGCCTTTCTGTGTTTCTCCTTCATGATCACATTTAGAGTTTTCGTGGTTTCATATTGCAGAATCTCTACTGCTGAAAACAGAAACATCAAATGAAAGAAAGGGTCCACAGCCCCGAGGCACACGCAAAACTCAAAGCTGAGTTGTAACATGAACGTGGCTTTTCTTGTTGCACAATCAGGTTTCTACTGGGTATGTGGAAGAACTTCTCAACCCATCTCATACAATTTTACACTCATTCCTCCCCCAAGCTAAAGTTCTTTTACATTTCTTATAGAATGCCAATGGAATTTTGAACTATATGCTCTGTGCATATGAACATTCTCTCTCACACACATGTACATGACTCAGGCAGCAGACAAAGCAGGCGCAGAGGAGAAGTGTAGAGTTTTGTAGAGTCAGGACAAAGGCACATAGCCTGGGGCTCTTGCCTGCCCTGTCACTCAAGTGGGGCAGGCATGCAGCCATAGGAGCTGCTCCTACCGGCTGCAAGGTATTTGACACAAGAATAAGAGGTCTTATGGCACCTTAGAGACTGACAAATGTTATTAGGCATAAGCTTTTGTGCAGTGTAATTTCTTCAAATACAAGGAGTGGGGTACACATCCACAAAGACCCACGCCAAATAAAATGTGCTAGTCCTTAAGATGCCACAAAACTCCATTTGGTTTTGTTGCAACTGTCTTACTTGGGTACCCTCTTGTAAATTTCAACATACTAGTTATCATGTGCCTTTTTTTCCAGCAAGAGGCAAGCTAGCAGGCAGGTAGCATGACAACAACCATTCAGAAAGAAACTACGGCTTTTAGAATGCTTTTCAATTTGCAGCAGTGAGCATGCTTCAGTCTTATATTTGAGACTGAGGGCCTGACTACAGGACAAGGAAAATGGGAATTAACTCACATTCTTTCACTGTGAAGTTGCACTGGGGCATTCAATTCTCTCTAATATAAGTGGTCACCATAGTGGAGGAGTTAAAAACCCTTCTACTCCCAATTCTTCTACTCACTCAGGGGGGTGGGCTGGGGGCAGAACTGTTTTTAAAAGTAGGGACTTGGAGGAGGAGAAACAGGAAGGGATGAGTGTTCTCTCTCTCTCTCTCTCTCTCTCTCTGTGTGTGTGTGTGTGTGTGTGTGTGTGTGTTTGTGTCTGTGTCTGTGTCTGTGTCTGTGTGTCTCTGTGTGTGTGCGTGTGCGTGTGCGTGCGCGCACTCAAGCTCATTGTCCTCCCTTGAGAGGCAAGAGGCAAGGGGAAAGGGGAAAGGTGCTTTGTCAAAGCACCATTTTGTGTGTCAGGCCACAAGCTTGCTTAGCCTTTTTATAGAAAAGATGTTCAGAAATGCAGTCTGACAGCAAACCACAATTACATAGATTTGCTTTTGCATATCTGCTGCCATCCTGAACATCACGCCCCCAACTGACTATGTCACTGAAACACACACACGCATCTGTCTTTACAAGAACATATCAGTTAGCTGCCTGGGGAAGAAAAAAAACATATAAATTGTTCTAGACAGAAAAAAGGAGAAGCCTCCCCCCCCTCAAAAAAAAAGGCAGAGGGAAAAGGCCACTTTGGGAGCAAAAAGAGCTGGACAATTTGATTCACAACTGACTATGTCACTGAAACACACACACATCTGTCTTTACAACAACATATCAGTTAGCTGCCTGGGGAAATAAAAAACATATAAATTGTTCTAGATAGAAAAAAGTAGAAGCCTCCCCCCCCCAAAAAAAGGCAGAGGGAAAAGGCCACTTTGGGACCAAAAAGAGCTGGACAATTTGATTCAGCCTTTGTGTCATGTAATCAGAAAAAAAAATACTTAGACCCATTTTATAAGCATAGCAAATTCCATTGTATTTTGACCATGTAGTTGCACTCTAACCAAAAAAGAGCAAAACAAAAACAAAAACAGTGCACATTATCTTGTTTATTATATCATCAAATACTTCTGTATTTCTCACAAAGAGTTTTTACATTTCAGTGTGTTTTATAGTAATCGTTTTTATCTCGGTGAAAAACTCATAGGAATCTTTTGCTCCCTCTCTGCCTATCCCAGAGGCTTTCATACCACCAAAAGGCAAATTCAAGTCCCTGATAAGCCAGCAATTGGTCCACACCAAACCTGACCGGAGTCTCTTAGCAACACGATGAACCCGCCCCACATTCCTTGACCAGACAACGGCTGCCAGGCCATACTTGACTCTGTTGGCTCTCCGGATTACTTCCTCTTCAGTATCAAATGCCGTGATGCAGGTTACGGGGCCAAAGATCTCATCCTGCATGCAACTTGAATCATCTGCAATGGTGGTAATCACCGTTGGAAGCAAGAAATACCCATGTTGGTTTCTGGTTGGAAGATCCAAGCCATTGATTCCCTCTCCACAAAGTATTTCAGCCCCTTCTTCCTTAGCTCTTTTAATATAGTTCTTTACCTGAGGAGAGCAAGAACAATGACAATGACAGAAACCTTTGAGAAGCAGCTGCAATGTCCTTCTATTCATAATTAGAAGTGTGCTGATGTGTGCTTTTGGATTTCAGCTCCCAGAATTCCCCAGGCAGTAGAATTCCCAGAATTCCATTTTGGAAATTCCAGAATAGCAGCCTGAGGAATGCTGGGAATTAAGGTCCAAAAACACCAATCTTCTCATCTCTGTAGGTCTACCAAGAAATAGAGGGGAAAGGAGGAAATTGTGAACTGATTTGTAGTTCACATAAACCCTGTAAAGAAGAAAGTAGAGTCCAGTTTCTTCTCTCAGATAAAGATCCCTAAGATTACCTATCACGTTGCAAGTTTCTGCATGATGATACTTAGATTCCAGAAATCAAAGTGTAGATAAATTTTAAATGTGTGGATTTTAAATGGTTTTAAACTGTGGATTTTAAATGGATTTAAATTGCAAGATTTTAAACGAATTTTAAACAAAGTGGTAATTCTGTTATGTTTTTAGGCTGTAACAGTTGAAACTGCAATTGTTTTTGTTTAATTGGTCTAAGGACTGTAATAAAATATGTATGTATGTACACAAAAAAGGGTTCATATGAACATATGAGTAGGGACAACACCTGAGTGGGGAAAGAGTTCTATCCTTGCCTTCCTGATTGTTCTTGTCCCTATGGGAAGAGGAGCTATCTGAAGAGGAAAATATTTGCTGCATATGGAGTTTCTCTACACGTTTGGGGGATCATGGAAAGAAATGAAGGCTTAGTGATTTCAAGTACTTTATGCTTAATTTTAGGAGTGACCTGGTGCCTTGGTGTTACTGAACATCCTCCATATTATGTCTTAATAAGACTGTGCATATAAAGGGATATGAGAAAAATATACCTCCATTTTCTGAAGTACTTTCATCTTTAGCCATCAGAAACTATGTTGTACACCCTAGCTAAATATAAAAATATAACCTACCTTTGCTAAATGTTCTTTACTTATCAGTGGTCCCATGTCAACTGTGGGATCTGTGGGGCATCCAACTTTCCACTTTTTGACAGCTTCCACAAACTTTCTCAAAAATTCATGGTAAATGTTTCTCTGAACAAAGATTCTGCTGGTGCACAAGCATATTTCACCCTAATGGAGCAGAAAGGTGGGTGAGAAAGAAATGCAGTTCAGTTATATTTGTTACTACCGTAATTTAAAAATAAAAATAGAAAGAGTAAGGTACAAGTTAGAATGACCACCACAGGTCATGTACAACAGAGGTTAAGCTCATACCACCTCAGACCCGATATTTTCAAAACACTTTGACAGATTCACCACAAACCCTAAGTTATTAAACATCAAGCAATGCAAGAATTATGTTTTTTGTCAGTTGAAGACAGACTGTCGGAGACAGGTATAACCTACAAGTGGAAGCAGCACAGCGGTGGATATGAAAGTTAACATAATGAGAACTGTGGTTGAAGAGCTGAACTATACTGTAGCTATATTCAAAGTAGATGTCATTATTCACATCTTACTAGTAAGGCAGTGGTGGGGAGGGAAAGAGGCAACCCAAAGCAGTCTTAGAAGGCACAGTTTTGTAAAATTCTGAGTGTAAGACCTTCTTAAAAAGTATAAAAACACAGTTTACCTTTTCAGGCAATATGTCTAATTTTTTTTAATGCCTTAATAGAGAATTTAGATTTTAGTGCCTCTCAAGATGATCGTACTAGAAAGATCCTGCTTACTTTTTCAGGGCATTTCAACATGTTGACTGAAATCCTGTTGTGCAAAAGGTGTAACTGAGAGGGGAACTGCTGTAGGTTAAGATATCTCCATAGGCATTACATGTTGCACACCAACTTGATCAGGTATATAGAGATGTCTTAATTTATGGCAATGTGCCTCTAAAAGTTACACTTTTTGCTTAACTCTACAATAGAATTTCAGCCAGCATTAAATATATATATATTTCAGGACAAGTTGGAGGTTTTGAGTTTTTTCTTCTTCTTTGCTGCTGCCACCAGATTTAATGTGACACACACTATGTTTCCTGACTAACAACTAAATTATAATGCCAGGGAAAGTCTCAGTTAGTCAGCCTGCAGAACAGATTTGACCAGCTAGCAATGTTCAATCTATTATCAAATTATGAGTTAACTAAATTATAATGCCAGGGAAAGTCTCATTTAGTCAGCCTGCAGAACAGATTTGACTGCCACCAGCACCCCCAAGTCCACTAAGAGCTTCAAAGGGCTGACAACCTCTGCATCTATTTATGTTTGGCAGAACAGAAGAACAGCAGAATGTTTGGTAGAGGGCATTCACAAAAGATGATTTTTGTAAAACCTTTGGATTGTTGAAGGTGTTGTTAAAACTCATATGTGCTTTGTGAAATCAGTGTGTGATTTTCAAAAATAATACTATGCTGAATGATGAATGGATTTGGCCATGTGCCATTCCTTGCCTTAAAAATGCCCAACCATAGTATACAGATGATTCTCTCTCACACACAAACATCCCATGTGTGATGATAATTATCAGTTTTCCCAATATGGAAAGTTGTAAAACCTCTAACCTGAGACCATGGTTTTGCATGTGTGCAGGCAAGGATCACTTGCTAGACTTCCAGCATTCACCAGCAAATTGATTCCCAATTAAGCAAACATGGGTCAGATCACACATGTGTAGGCAAATGTGCACTCCTTCCTCTTACAATGTTACCCCCTCCAGTTCTACATGCCTGAGACATCTGTCATGTAAATAATGCCATGCTATCTCCCATAACATTGCAAAGAAAAGTAGGCTAATTTCCCAAAACTTTATGTTAGGGAGGGAAATTGATGTGTCTGCTTTGTGCTACCAAGCTTCCCTGAGTAGTCTTCTGCTCCAGGTATATTCACCCACACCTAGTGGTTGTAAAGACCTTGATTTTCTCACCTTCAATATTGTATTATGAGCTACCCATATTTGGGGGTTGTTTGGCCTTGAATTGACAATGAGTTCTATTTGTTTTAAAAAACAATAGCGATAACACTACAAGGGGAGAGGAAAAGTGCAGAAACTGTTTAGTTGATATGGATCAGCAAAGCTGCCTACTTGCATTTTTGGCCTGGCTGCAGCGATTACAGTGAGGAGAACCTATATTTTGGAGATACCACGATGAACATCCACACTTTAGTATTTAACACTACATTTCTGGCAGCTAGGCCATGATTCCCAAGGGGCTTTGTAATAATCAGCATGTATGCAATGATTTCACATTCTTTTAAGAAACACCATATGCATAGATATACCAACATTAAGAAATTAGGAGATAATTATTATACCAACTCAGAGCACTACGCGAAAGCTGAGAAATAACCAGCCCACAGTGAACTTAGTTATGGGTAGGATCCTTAAACATCATCACTTTGAGTATTAAAAGCACAGTATTCACCAAGATCATTGTGCTGGATAAAAGCCTTGGAGTCAATTCTTACTGTTCAAAATGGCACATTGACTGCACTCAGTTCTGTTATGAAGTCATTGCATATCTCTGAGCTTCAGAAAAAAGAAATTAAACTTTTTGTGTATAGTGACTTGAAAATTTGAGTTTATTTGTCCATACCTGATTAGCAAAGCTGGATCTTACACTGACAGGAACACATTCATCCAAATTGGCATCGTCAAAGATGATAGCTGGATTTTTGCCTCCAAGCTCCAAGGAGAGCTTCTTACAGTAGGGAGCACTCCTTTCAATGATACGCTGGCCAGTAAGTGTACTTCCAGTGAAGGAAATCAGTGACACTTCAGGATGGGAAACAAGAGCATCTCCAGCTTTGGGACCACTCCCAAATACAATGTTCACCACACCCGGAGGAAAGCCTCATAGGAACAAAATGCACAAAACACAAATAGGCATATGATAACCACAAGTTGCAATCTTATATATGCATGTAAGCTAGGAGCAGGCACCACTGAAAATAATGGGTTATGGAACAAATTCTAAATAAGGATGTATATTTCTGCACTCTTTGTAAACTTGGGAGCATTGTGCTTTGAAGTACTTAAACCATATGGTTGTATACATGTACAGAATAGTATTATCTGTATGTGACACTGTTCCTTCACCTCAAATTGTTCATTCATACACAAAAATATAAGTACTCTTATTATCTAATGTCATAATTCATCACTTTTACACACTAGATACATATTTTTGTTAACAGTAACATACTATTGAAATAGTGTGGTGTTGCGGTTAGAGTGTTGGACTCTTGACTGAGGAGACCTGGGTTCAAATTTTTGCCAAGCCATGGTAGAAATTAACTGGGAGGATGGTGATGGCCTGGATTCATCCCATATACCTTCAAAAATTCTGCTAGGGTTGCCATACATTGAGAGTGACAGGACACCACATAAAGCAATCTATTAAACAGGTCTGCTGTGAAGAGAAGCATTTATATAGAGAGACATGATGAAACATATCTGCTTCAATTGTGTTACTTCTTATATCAACATTTAACAGAGTGGTTTAAATTAAGAAATACGGCATTATGCCAAGTCCTTCGCTGCATTTTCAGAATTACCTGCTTTACTGAGAAGTTTGCACATCATCCAAGCAGTGACTGATGTCATTTCACTGGGTTTGGCAATTACAGTGTTTCCATATGCAATGGCTGGGGCAATTTTCCAAGTCAGCAAGTAAAGTGGCAAGTTCCATGGACTAATTAAGCCGGCTGGTAAAGGAAAGAAAGTAAAGAGGCTAGAGAAGACTTGTATGGTTGCTTTAACAAAAGGCAGGAAAAGTCAAATTCTCCTAGCACTCAGCTAAAGTGAAAAACAGGACTGTCCTCCACAGTTTTCTCCTCTTGCAGCATGCCCTGGCAATTACAGTGGGGTCTTGACTTAAGAACGGCTCAAGTTAAGAACATTTTGACTTAAGAACCACTCTCATAGGAAAATATTGACTTGACTTACATACTTAGATTTGAGTTAAGAACTGAAAAAAAACCACGTGGGAGGCAGGGAAAGTGCAAAATTTGAACTTTTAGTTAACTGTTGGGCAGTGAAAAGGGTGCCTGTCTGCTTCCTCACTCCTCCCAGCGTTTAGAGAGTGGATTGGGAGACAGTCTTCAGACTGCCTGGTACTGCCTGGACTGTATTTTCCCTGCCTTCCCTGAACCTTTCTTGACCTAAGAAAAAAAAGAAACAAAATATCCCCCTGTAGTGGTCGAAGGCGGAATAGCAGCTTCCCATTAATTTCTATGGACGGAAAAGAGCAGATACGGATCAAATGGTTTTCAATGCATTCCTATGGGAAATGCAGATTTGACCTGAGAACTTTTTGACTTGAGAACTGCCTTCCAATACAGATTAAGTTCTCAAGTCAAGACCCCACTGTATCTGTTCACAAGGACCCACTTCATTTGGCATTCTAGACTGGAAATACTCACCTCTATGTGCATATCTCATCTCTATACATTCTTTTGCACAGGAGTAACAATGTATGTCAAGACTTACCTTTTATGATAAAGAATTCTTGGAAGATTTAAGTGAAAAGCACTGTCACACATGTGAAATTATTAGAAGCATTCTTCTTGAGCTGTGATTTTATACTTGATTAATACTTTAATTAATACTTCAACTTCTATCAAAAACAATAGACTCTCTAAATATAAGCATAGCATTCCCTTCACATGAGCAATGAGTCATTCTCAAAACTGAAAATCTGGCTTAAGAGAAAAGTTAAGGATGGTCCAAATTTACTTATTCATCTCCCATGAAAATTCTAAATTAAGGTTTCTAATTAGATGAGAGTAGTAAAAACAAAAAGAAGAAAAACTTCTAAAACTAGAATCATACAGCCATTACTTTTGAAAAGCTATGAATATAATCTCAGGCAGATACCAAATCGCTCTGTTGATGGCTGCTGTCTGAGCATATAACTGTGTACAACATAAAATAGACCATTATCATCATGATCATGATTTTAATTCTGAAATATATATTGCCACCTGGTGGTTGATTTGCATACTTCTAGAAATAGAAAGCACATTTTACTAGAGCAGGGGTGGGCAATTAATTTCTACAGGGAGCCACATGAAAAATCTGAACTGTGTTCGGGGACCGAACCAACTGCACTTAAAAATAAAAGATAAGCAACTGACCAACTTTAGACAAAAAGCTATAAATGGTTTTGATGTTCAACTTGTTCAGTGAGAGAAATCCAGTCTGTTTTGGGCTTGAATAAGTGCTTGAACACCGGACTGGAGGGACCGGCGGGGCGGACAGGAGCAGCTCGCGGGCCATATGTGGCCCTCGGGCCGCACTTTGCCCTGGTCTGTACTAGAGTAACAAAGTATGTCACAATTTTCAGAATGCATGTTTAAATGCCTGCATTTTCTGTCTATAAGTAGCATGAGCAGACTTTCCCTCTTTACTGGAAAATCTCTCCCTTGCTAGGGGGAGGATTTCTATGACATTTCACATTTTCTCTGCATCCTACATTTCTCACCAGATTACTCATAAACGTGTTCATAAGCTCAAACATATGTTGCGGGGTTGGGAATAACATGTCATAGAAATCTTTCCCCTACTAACTACTAACGTACAATGCAGATTATTTCTGTATGTGCCCATGCACATGTGCCAGTGCGTAGACTGATTTGCAAACAGTAAAATGAAAGAAATCGCAGGTAGCTGGATAGCTTTGTGAGAGGAAGCATCTAGCTATGGAGCCTGGGGTTGGGAATTTAATTCCCTGCTGTGCCTTGTAGGAGAGGAGCCAACCTGTGTGGACACAGGCAAGCCACAGGTGCGCAGAAGAAGGCAATGGCAAACCACCTCTTAGTATTCTGTAACTAGAAAACCCCAGAAAGGGTTGCCCTAAGTCACATTTGACTTGAAGGCATTTTAATTAATTAATTACATGAATATTCTGATGTGTCTTGAGCTGGACTGAAACAACAACAACAACAACAACAACAACAACAACAACAACAACAACAACAACAACAACATGTTGTGAGGTCAATCTCACTCACCTATGGTGACCTTTCTCAGGGTTTTCTAAGTCCTCAGAAAAGGTTTACCCTTCCCTTCTTCAGGGACCACCCTAGGACTGTGCAGTTTGCCCAAGGTCACCCAGGATGGCTTTCCGCTGGGAAGCACAGTGAGGAATCAATCTCCCAAACTCTGGCTCTGCAGCCAGGGGTTCAACTCACCGTACTGTGCAGCCAGCTAGTTACTTTGTCAGGCAGTCTGAAATGCGAAACAAGGTCTCGGGCTTCCATTTTAAAACTATAGCCAAGCCCCCCCTCCCATGTTTAGATAAAGCAAGGCTTACTACTTCAGATACCAAGGTTTGGGCATTATTAGAATGATGGAGGGCAAAATAATTAATTACATACTCCTACTAGGAGTGAGGATACCAGTTAGATGTTCTATATAATGTGAAAAAAACATTTTGAGCCATTTTTAAATAATGAAGTTAGCGAACATAGCAGTCACTATTATAGCTCTCTGGCTCAAACATTGAACTTCTCAGGTTGCACCATAGTCCAGAATGACTTACAAAATGATATAACCTTTTTTTTTTTGTCCATGGAGGAATGAGCAATTAGTGCCAGAAGTGGGACAAAATGAATGCACATGACAAGTAAAACATCTTTCAAAAGCTACTTGAAACTATTGCTGTAGTGGGTTGTATAGTTTGTTGTTCAAAAACTGTATTTGAATAATTTTACAATATGGTTTGGAAAGTCTAATGGCAACACACACACCATACATGGGCCAAATGGCTCAAATGGCCCCAGAAGACCTGAAGGCACACTCTGCCTTCAGGTCTTCACCTCAAGTGCTGCAGTTTGTTTCTCCCACTTTGGGGGTTTGGCTCTTCCCATGCCTCTTCCCACTTCACCATATGAGCAAGGGGGCAGGAGGGAGGAACAAGGCTAGAGTAAGACTCCCCACCATTTCCAATCAGCTATCAGAGAGAGAAAGCAGGAGTTCCTTTGTGATGGTTACCTCAAGACTTTGTGGGCCAGATGAGGAGTTTCCAGAAAACAAACTTAGGACCACAGGTACAGAAAGAAAGGTACAGCCAGACACACTGTATTACTCATACAACAGACTAAAATAACACTCCCCACAAGCGACTGCATATGGCTTCTATTTGAAACCGGAGCATCAGTCCTTTGGAGGGGCCTTACCAATTCCCACTGGTGTTCTCTCAGTATAATGCATGCAGCCCATGTGGTCCATCTGAGTACATTCGGTTGTCTGGTGAAGAATGGATGATGAAAAAAAACGGAAATTGTATACCGCCCGAGGGACGTCTACTGTTCTGGCAAATGTTACTGTTTTCCCTGGAACAGAAAGATACTTAATGCATGCTGCCCCATGCATTACAAACATTGTTGTAGTCCTTTTGAGATAGATTTTCTCAATTTAATTTTCAGACTGATTTTTCTGAGGGTTGCCATCCGGCAAAGAATGAATGAAAAGAAGTTGCAGGGGTGGGTAGAGTTCCTAAAATGTAAAATAACCAGATAGAACAGTGGTTCTTAACCTTTGTTACTCACATGCTTTTGAACTGCAACTCCCAGAAACCCCAGTTAGGACAGCTGGTGGTGAAGGCTTCTGGGAGTTGCAGTCCAAAACTCCTGAGTAACCCAAGGTTAAGAACCAGTGAGATAGAAGAGGAACATTGCCGCAAAACAAAAGAGTATCAAGGAACAACGTATAAATTCAGAAAAGGACAGTCTCTGGCAACACTTTTCCTTGTGAAAACATGTCCTTGATTTCCGTGGGTTTAAAAAGAACATCAGCACAAATCGCACAACGTACAATAGCACCTATTCCCTGAAAAATAAATGTGAATATGCTTGGCATGTTGACAGATACATGTTAAAAATGCATGTATGTCCTCTTCTCAGGATAAATGATCACATCACCTTGTTCCATTTCTTTGGAACAGTGATTTTATAAATCCCTTCCCTCAAGCAACCATTTTGAAGATAAGTGCAGCCATTTCCTGAGTGTCCTTGCTACCCAAAATCTTGTTTTGAAGACAGTCTATACAACTGTGATATGGTAGAGTGGCCTATTTTCTCTAAGAAATAGAAACAAGTAATATGTTTCCCCCTCTCCACCCCAAATGTACTGAGTCATTCTGTGGAACCAATGTTTTGATTATGTACCTAGCTTCTGGGCTCATGTGTCACTGATAGGCATTCCTTCACCACTGCTATCTTCACCACTTAGTGACTTAGGAGGACGGGCCATTAACTCCCCACCCCATTGTGGTGCAAATATGCCATGCCATCTTTGGTGCACCAAACATTACCATCATATTTACTATGAATTCTTTTTGAAAGTCACTGGTCACTTTTTGTGAGACTAGAAGTTTGAGAAGAAATCCCAATGGAAACAGCTTCCATGGAGGTGGGACAGAAGCAGGGCAACTGTCAGTTTAATGAGAAATTGTTCCCATAATTTTCTTCCCCCTTGATGAGACATGAAAGTATTTTGGATTATCTGCAGAATCTCAAGAAGTGACTTTGCATTAAAATGAAAGACAAAGACCTTTGCAATGAAATGTGTGGATGCATTTTATTAAACACCCCCAACATTATCTAAGGTCCAAAACCAATTTCCTCGGTATTGAAGCCTCTGCCCATTCATGCTTTAATTTCATATATTTAGGTACCCCACTTCCTTTGCTCGGCCTGTCATCTGGAAGTATTGCTCCCGCAGGCTTTTGTCTTTACCTTGATCCTTTGATTCTGCTTGTGCAAATAATTCCAAGTCATCTTCAATAAGGTCTGCTAGCTTGCTAAGTAGTTTTGCCCTTTCTTGAGGACTTTTGGAAGACCATCCTGGGAAGGCGTTTTGGGCAGCTTTGACAGCAGCTTCTATCTTGAAAAGGGAACAAAGAGATGCTTGTCCAGTAACGTTTGGGCAAGATTCAACACCCATCGGGTGCTAACAGAAATCATGTAAAGGAAGAAAAACATTGTAGTGCGATTTCTGGATGCATTTGTTCTATGGAACTTAATTTGGGCAGAGCTCAGAATTTATTTGGACATTTACGTGACCTCTGAAATAAATGATGATGATATCCTTGACATTATGTGCCTCTAGGTGGCGGTGTTCAGCTTTTCCCTTCTCCCCGGTTTTTGCCTTTTCTACATTTACAGAGGCCTTGTTTTGTTTGCTTGTTTTTGTTCTTACACTTCTATATACTTTACACTTTTAAACCCCTGATTTTCTGGCCAGTGCAGAGATGCATCAAGATGCAGAATACAAATAACAAAACGGGACAAGAGAAAGTTAAATTATAGACAGCTGCTCAGATTACAAAGTGCAAAGAGCTAGAAGCAGTAAAATAGTTCTCAAAGTGCCTCTGAAGAGATCCACGTCCTCACCCGACACTGGAAAGGACATAACGTGGACACAATGTGAACTTACCTGTGGCGGTTATTCCACAGGCAGAAAGATGCACCAGTGAAAAGTGGGAATGGCCACAAGCAAAACAAGACAGGGCTCCCACACCTTTGACACTTCAGTGAAAGCTGGCATTTCTGGATTTGTTATGCAGATAAATTCCACTGACATTCCCCATTCCACTGTAAAAGTACAAGACCGCTGTCTTCTTTTTTATAGGGCAACCTTTAAAATGGCTACCTCCCCTGGTAGCCATTTTGTTTCACTTCACGCTGCAGGAGTACCTGGAGGAGAACTTCAGATGGAGACCTTACACATGGGGTTAACTATAAGAGAATTATGTTTATGGAGATATTCCTTTGTTCAGAAGTCTAGTTTAAAGGCTAGCTAACATAGTGCTCCGGAGGCCTGGATTCCTCAGCCCTTCAAAACTCAATGGGGGTGGAGAGTGGCCATGGTAAACCTGTCCTTGAACACCCCCCCTAACCTACCTTGAAAACCCTGTTTGGGTTGCCTTAGGCCAGAAACAACTTGATGCCAGAGAACAACAAACAAAGCTAGCTAATTCCAGTGAGAACAAGGTATCCACATTACAGAGCACTTTACAGGATTATATGCCAGACTGTGTCTTGGAGTAAGCCGAGACACAAAGGTACGGTAAATAATAACAGAGAAATCATTGGAAAGCATTTTGCCGTTTTTCACAGTCTACTCAGAATGCACCTTAAGTCACTAATTCAGAATAGCAATTTTTAGAGGAAGAAATAGAAAGGACTACCGTCAGGAATATAAGATTTGTGAGGGAATCTGTTACAAATAAGGGAGAGACAAGAAAGTTATGTCCCTATGTTAATAAAGCTGACTTTTTTCCTTGGCTCTTGATTAAGAAGATGAAAAGACAGACAAGAGGCCTGCAAGAGAGAAGGTGGGTTTTCTAAAGGCTCAATTTGTGGCCTTAAGTATGAAACAAATGCATTTGAGGAATAACCCAAGAGAACTGGGATCCAGGGAGTGTTACAGAAAACAAAAGAGAATCAAGGAACTAGCAGACTATGCCAGGTATTATGTACAATAAAAAAATACATGGAATGAAAGGTAAATAAGATTTGTTTAAATGTTAGCCTCTGCAAAGCTCCCCCTGTGGAGCTAATTCTCTTCTCCTTGTTGTATGCCATTTAGGCCAGCCTTATTGTGAGGAAGAATGAGGCACCTAACTGAAGCAGCTGATTTGAAGGGCAGAATTTTGTTAGAAATTTAATTTATTACTGTTGCAATTTTACTGCCTGGAAGAGGGAAACAGATTTAAGGGCATTTACAGGATTTTCTGCCTCAGATGGTGAAATTATTTTGTCCAGCTGCGGATACTATGTACCTTCACTTATGGGCTGAGATGGTTATGTGTTGCCTTAGGCTGAAAAATGCCTTAGGCCAGCTGTGGAGTTATCCAGAGGGAGAACGAACAGGTAGAGAAGATCCAGGAGGAATATAGCTCTGGCTATTAAGTACTGTAGTAGCCAGAAGCAGCAAAGGCCAATACTGATGTGCTGGATATGGGAAACACTGATGACTTGAAGGTGTGGATACTTTATACTCACATGTTTTAAATGGTGCCTGGCTGTTTGATCAGTGATCTACTATTTTTGTTTATATGTGCTATAGCACATGCAAAAGGTCTTAGAGACTTCGAGGTGCTTGACCCTATCTACAAAAGGTGCGAAAAGGAGAAACCTCAGTTCGAGGTGCTTGACCCTATCTACAAAAGGCGCGAAAAGGAGAAACCTGGGAACAACTACAGGCCAGTCAGCCTGATATCCCAGGGAAAATTCTGGAACAGATTATAAAGAGGTCACTGTGCAAACACCTAGAAAACAAAGCAGGAATAACTAGAAGCCAACACAGATCTGTCAAGAGGAAATCGTGGCAGACTAGTCCGATCTCAGTTTTTGATCAGGTAACCTCCTCGATAGACAGAGGGAATGCTGTGGACATTGTATATTTTGACTTTAGCAAAGATTTTGACAAGGTGCTCAATGATATTCTGGTTAGCACGTTAAGTAGATATGGGATGGATATAACAACTGTCAGGTTGTTGGTTACAGTTGGTTACAGATTCATACTCAGAGGGTGATGATTAATGGCTCCTTATCAAACTGGGAGGAGGTAATAAGTGGGGTACCCCAGGGCTCAGTCCTGGGCCCAGTGGTCTTCAACATTTTACTAATCACCTGAATCAGGGAATAGAGGGAATGCTAATTAAATTTACGGGTGACACAAAATGAGATGGAATAACTAACACCCTGGAAGACAGAAACAAAATTCAAAATGATCTAGATAGCCTTGAGCACTGGGCTAAAAACAACAGGGATAAGTGCAAAGTACTGCACCTTGGAAAAAGAAACCAAACACACAGTTACAAGATGGAGGAATACCTGGCTCAGCAATACTACAAGCAAGAAGGATCATGGAGTCATTGTAGGTCACAAGCTGGAGCCAGTTCTGAACACCACACTTCAAGAAGGATGCTGACAAATTGGAACAAGTTCAGAGGAGGGCAGTAAGCATGATTAGGGGGCTTGAAAACAAATTGGAAGAAGTTCAGAGGAGGGCAATAAGCATGATTAGGGGGCTTGAAACTAAGTCCTATGAGAGGAAAGACTAAAAGAACTTGGCATGTTTAGCCTTGAGAAGACTGATGAGAGATATGATAGCATGTTTCAAATACTTGAAAGACTGTCATAGAGAGGAGGGGTAGGATCTGTTCTCAATCATCCCTGAGTGCAGGATATGCAAGCAACAATGGGCTCAAGTTACAGGAAGCCAGGTTTTGGTTGAATATCAGGAAAAACATCCTAGCTGTTAGAGCAGTACGGCAATGGAACCAATTGCCTAGAGAAATGGTGAGTGCTCCAACACTGGAAGCATTCAAGATACCGTAAATTTAGACAAACATGTCATTCAAGATAAATTTAGACAAACATCTGTCAGATACCCTTTGATTCGTTTTCCTGCACTGAGCAGGCATTGGACCTAATGGCCTTCCAACTTCATTATTCTATAATTCTATGACTTGTATGTACACCCTGTTCCCACACACTTCTAGCCCTTTGTTTTCACCAGGACAAAAGAAAACAAAAGCAAGAAAAGAAATAAAGGTGCAGCTTCCGTTCTTCAGTTCCATCATTCCTAGGAGAAAGGTGGATGAGAGGAAAGGCATAGGCATAGGTGTGGAGTGTGCTTCCCACTAGAAGTTCCCTCAGGCCCAGAGTGTTATCAGAGAAGGCTCTGCAAAACGGAGAGCCTATATGGCTGATGTAGAGAGATCATAAACAAGAACTGCCTCATATTACATTTGTCAGAAACTGTATATATTTTATAGGTTTCTTCCTATGTTTTTATAAGGTGCTAGACAACTTTTTTCAGTTTTGTTAAGTACTGCAGGAAAAAAAATCATTTTTGTTAAGTGCGGCAAAGTCCACTAATATGGTCCTAGTAAAATTAGCCTAGTTTTCTACTCTTGTATACTCCAAAGCACTAATGTGTGATTTGGGGTGTACAAATTAAGTTTCTATTTTGGGTCTAGAGGGGCAGGGTAAAATTCCAATAAATAAATAAATAAACAAACAAACAAATCCTTTCACTTTTCTGATTTTTTCAGAAGCATATGGACAAGGAGGGCACCCAGAACACTTTTAGAAGTAATGATGATACACGTCTTTTCAACTCTATTTAGTAGTGTTTTATGCATTTCGTTTTAATGTAGAAAGGCATCACAGACATAGGGCATGACCATTCTTAGAAAATGTTCTTAATCAGCTGTCTGTGACATCCATTGCCACGTGAGTTGACGCCTGCTTGTGCAACAGTATGTCCTCTCTCTTCTGCCACCTTTGATCTGTCCCAGAGGTTTTTAGGAAGCAGGGAGGGTGCAGCTAGGACATGAAATCTATCTGTTCCACTGGTGTACGTACACAGATGGATACATTGCAATGGAACCTGATTTGTCCACTTTCCTGTATTTATCTTAATGTTGCTATGGTTCAGTACATTAAAACTGTTTGGATTCATATCTGGTGGAAAGGGCATCAGTATCATGAACATATATGATAGGATTAAGACCCCAAATTAGTTCAGTCCACTTGTCATTTTTCTTGATAAGATTTCTGGACCTCCCGACCTCTCCTTTAACAAGAAGCTCAGATATTACATTTTTGTTTGTTCCACTGATCTGAGATTTGAGTTAAGCAGTCACTCTGGATTGTACTGTAAATATGTTCTCTGCATATCCAACACACAACAAACCAGACAACAACCTTCCACTTAGATATAGAAAGGAACTATAAAAGCCCAAGGTTCCAGAATGCAAGTTTAAACTTTAGCAGAATCACTAGTTACACTTCAACTAGTGCTTATGTGTACTTTGCAAATATTTGGCTAAGGGAATCTGAAGGTTAAAGTTCAAATTGCAAAAGTCTATGTAGACAGGAATATTACATTTTCAGCAGCAGTCACTAACTGTACAGACAATCTGACTTTTATTTAATTCTGTACTTTTAAAAGTATTTTAAAGGAATGACACACACAGTGCAGTTCATTATTGATAAACATTTGAGCAAATTATCAGTGGCCTTTCCTCTTTGCCTTACTATTGACCCCCCATATCCCCTCCATCCCGTGAAACCCTGATTGTGAAGAGAGTTCAGAGGAAAGCATGTTCCACTGTGCACTACAGACCTAGATAGCTCACTAGTGGAAAACAGGATATATTGGTGACAAATTTTTTAAGATTCCAAAACCACTGTCATTGAGAGTCTGCAAAAACAGCTTACTAGTATATTTTTTAAAAAAACAAATAACATAATTTCCATAGACTGGTAAATTGCTGCCAAAGTTTTAAAACCTAGTCTTAAAATTGTCTGCAAACAGTAATAGAACATGCCTTTATGTTCATTCTAGAGGCTACCATGAAAAAGCCAAACATAAATTCATGCAGAAACTCACCTCTTCTTGGCCACTATCTGGTACCTTGCAATAGACTTCTCCTGTGGATGGATCATAAGAATCTAAATAGGAGGAGCAGGGAACAAACTGGCCACCGATATAATTCTCCAAAACTAAGTAAGTCTTCCCGCTCTCCATTATAACTCAGTTTTCATCCCCAAGCATTCCCACTGGACTGCTAGTTCATAGTGCAGACCTGTGTGTAAGCTTGAACTCCTCCCTTTTCTGTTAATTTCATTAACCAGACCTAAGCATGGGAAGGTTCCTTAACCCCGGTTCAAGTGAACTGATAGCACTAGCTCTACTACAGTATTCCCTTGGTAAAGGTGGCATAATAATCAGGGTTCAGTGTGACCCATCTTTCTACCTAGGGAGAGGAATTCCACCACCACCCCACCCTGATCCCATTGGGAATGAGTTTAGGATTGCTTTGCTTCTCCATCAGTGCATTTGCTTGATTTGTAAGAGATGTGCTTGAAAATCTGGACATTTAGTTGCAACAGTCTGGACTGCACAGGGTAGTTTGTATGAGGCTAGTACATAAGTAGTCCTCATGATGAAGAGCAGGAATAGATTATATTTAGGTTACTTTCAACTTTTTCAGTAAAGGAGATCATTCATTCAGTCTCATGATGGATTATCCATTTTATGTTATAGTATTGCATTCAGTCATAATCTATCCCACGGATAGGAAAGTGGATCTTGTTTTACTGGTAAATCTCTGGGTAATCTGCAGATTAGCACTTTTAAAAAAACAAACTAATTCCCATGTTGCAGCTGTGGCTACACGATGACTTTGATAATCATCATCCCCATACTAAAATACTGCTGAATTCAACAAAACATAATGAGAAATATTTGCTTGTGGACAGACTGTGTGCTGTGTTCAGTTCTAGTTGTTGTTGTTGTTATTAAGTCATTAAGCCGTGACACTAGAGGCTACCATACGCCAAGCCCTCCTGTCATCCACTGCCTCCCAGAGTTGAGTCAAATTCATGTTGGTCACTTTGATGACACTGTCCAACCATCTCGTCCTCTGTCGTCTCCTTCTCCTCTTGCCTTCTCACTTTCCCAACATTAGGGTCTTTTCCAGGGAGTCTTCTCTTCTCATGAGATGGCCAAAGTATTGGAGCCTCAGCTTCAGGATCTGTCCTGAATATACTATTCAGTTGAATATACTATTCCTGAATATGCTATTCAGTTCTAGTACTCAAATCATATTCCTAAATTAAGAATTGATTTTAAAAGTATGCCTTTCAGGCCAAGCTTCAATTTGGCATTTCTCATGATTTTAGTTCTACAAAACAGGTATAAGCCCAACATCCATACACACAAATGTACTGTATATAGATGTATATATGTTAGCAGGACTTTATAGGGGACCAATACACTGTCTGTCTGTCTGTCTGTCTGTCTGTCTGTCTGTCTGTCTGTTAGTAGGACTTTCTCATGAGCCAATACACTGTGTTCTGATACAAAGTCAAACTAAGGTGTTATGTTATTTGGTCTGATGAAGCAGCAGTGTTCCATTTTCCTAGCTTATATAAGGGTGTAACACTAATCATTCCCTCTTAAGCCTTCTTGCTTCAAAAAGGAAGCACTATGCTGTAATAACATATCTTGAACACTTCACACCCAACCTTAGAACTTAGGAGAAACATTCCCAAACTTCTTGTCTGCTACTTTCCTAAATCAAAACTACAATTATTTTCTAAATCAAAACAGATGGGGACTGTTTTACGACAAGTGAAGTATCCAGTTTTATTCAGATGGGGACTGTTTTACGACAAGTGAAGCATCCAGTAAGTTTTATGTTTAAGGATATGAGATGTGTGTGTACAAACCATGTTAGGGTATGACCACACTGGCCCTTTTGGTGCAGTCTAAATAGGGTTGCTTGAGGTCGAGGTAGGAGTGATACACAGTGGTACCTCACTAGACGACCTCATAAAATGATGAATCCGCATGACAATGAGGTTTTGCGATTGCTATAGTGATTTGCAAAAGTCATTTCTATGGGGTTTTTTTTCGCTAGATGGTGATTTGGTCTGTGCTTCATGGACCGTTTGTTCGCAAGATGACGATTTTTATAGCTGATTGGCGGCTCTGCAAAGTGGCTTCCCTGTGTTTTTGGCAAGACGACGATTTTTACAGCTGACTGGCAGCTCCGCAAAGTGGCTTCCCGTTTTCAAGACCCATGTTTCACAGGACAGCCATTTTAATAACTGATCGGCACTTGCAAAATGGCTTCCCTATGGGTGATCTTTGCTGGGCAACGACAATTTTCCCCATTGGAACGCATTAAACGGGTTTCAATGCATTCCAATGGGGAATCACATTTTGCATGACAATGATTTCGCTAAACAGCAATTTCTATGGAACGGATTATCGTTGTCATGCGGGGCACCACTGTACTATTCTGGCACAATCTTTATCGTCGTCATACGGGGCACCACTGTACTATTCTGGCGCAATCTTTGTGTCAAAATGGCATATTGACCTCAAGTGACCCTTCAGATGATTCTTTGTCCTCTGCAATGGGGCAAGGGAAGTGAAATTATTACTTTTATGTATGTGGGGCAAGGGAAGTGAAATTATTACTTTTGTGTATGCTAGACCAGTGGTTCTCAAACCTGGGTCCCCAGATGCTCTGGGACTGCAATTTCCAGAAATCCTGGTCAGTGCAGCAAGTGGTGAATGCTTCCGGGAATTGCAGTCCAAGAACATCTGGGGACCCCAGTTTGAGAAACACTGTGCTAAACTGCTGGTTTTGTGCTGAATCACTTAAATTTAATTTGTTTTCCTTTACACAGTGCCATTTGGGGGACCCCAGTTTGAGAAACACTGTGCTAGACTGCTGGTTTTGTGCTGAATCACTTATATATAATTTGTTTTCCTTTACACAGTGCCAATTGAGAAACTGCCTTCAGCTGCAATTTTGATCAGCACATTACACAAAGGCAAAGAAAAATATTGTAATTTAATCTAAAGTGATTCAGCACAACAGCAATGGTCTAAAAACAATTTCACTTCCCTTACTCCTCCACATATGGCCCTCCAAGATGGCTCCAGAGGATCAAGGGAAGTGTTCAATTTGCCAGTCTCCTGAAGTGGCTTGCTTATTAAGCCACTTCACAATACCAGAAATTGAAGTCAGATTTTTTGCAGCTTTGACAGCAGCAAGGCCCAATTATAGTCTGTTCTCAGCAAGCACATGTTTTAAGAGGATTATACATAAACTGCAAAACTGCATAAGTAGATCTTAAGATTCCAAGACATGAACATGTAAAATGTGTTTACAATACTCAGGTATAGTTGTTATCTGTGTAGAACATGACATTGCTAGAAAGACACATTTTTCAACCTTCATTGTCAGCTGTGCTCTTTTTGTCAACATATTTTTAATTTATAAAGAACAACTTGAACAGAAATCAGTATTATGCTCAGATCACTACTTTATTATACCACTACAATTTTAAAAATAAAATTAGCCATTATTGGTCAAACTGTGCCTACACAATAAGTTTTTAAATAAAATTAGAGTGGGAAGGAATTAAGTTTTTGGGTGCAGCATTTACATAATATTTTATGAAATGGAAGGGTTCTTTGAAAACATTTTGTATAAAACATTTTAGCCCAATTTATGTAGTTTGCAAAATAACGTGCAGCAGAGAAGCAGCTCTCACAAAAATTGTAAACAAGGTTTAAGGCTGGATGTAACAATTTTTTTCCATGATGCGTCATCATCCCTTAATACATCATTCCAATTAACTTTTCACAAAGGTCTGCTAGAGCGACCAACAGGGGGTAAAGTTTTAGAAGGGGACTATACTGGAACTTGTGCAGTGAGAAAGTGCAAGGAGCCTTTCCCTGTCGGTAAATGAGTTCGCAGCAACAATGGCCTCATAATGTTTGCAGAACACCTCACATTTTATTTCCTCCTTTCAGAAATATAATTGTCTTTGTTCCTTCAACTGATATGACTCAATTCATCAAATAAGCCTATTTGGATATATGATTCCATCTGGTTGAATTGCAGAAGTCCTGGCACGGCATCATTCTTTAATCTAAAAGGAAAAGAAAGAGAAAAGTATTATTTTAAAACTTCAGAAAAGACAATAGAATGCACTGCATTTTTTCCCCTCTTTCCAAGATTCAAAGTGTGCCAATCAGCACCACCATTACCTTGTTTGAGAGAGCTCTAGCCAAGCCCTTGCCCAACGCTTATTAAGATGGTGAGGCAGGATAATGCACCAAAGCTGAATATTACTTGTTTTGATATTGGACCCATGGTGGAATGGAATACTGCTCACCTGGGTGGCTGCCACAGCTACCCTCTCTTCCCCTTCAAGATGGCTCTGAACCCCAGATCCAAAGCAGGTTCTTCTGTCATACAACACTGGGGGCAGAGGCCAGAGCCATTTGGGGGGGAGAAAGGAAGCTCGGTCATTATAGCAGCAGCAACCTCCTGTGGGCAGAAGCACACAGCTAACCAGTGTAAGTTGGATCAGAGGGCTCCCTGACCTGACTCTTCATATGTTCTTATGTTAACTGGGCATCATGTTAGACAAACATGGGACACATGCAAAGGATAGCATACCTCTGCCCACAGTAAGCTCAGAGATGTAACTAAGTACACGGCTGAGTGCAGACGGCACTTTGGAAGTCCCCCCAAAGCTGTTTCCATAGTTAGCTAAAAAGCTGCAGAAATTGAACTGCTCCATGCTGCACAAATCAATTCTTCACTATTTTCATTCCTGAAATAGATTTTCATGCCACCCTGGCAAGATGAAAAAATTGGCTGTCCAAAGGCTCAGATTCATGCACTCACTTATAACAATACATCATGTTGCCAATTTTGTATTGCTGAAATTATTCAGAACAAACTGTATCATAACAGTTTGGACACACTGTAACAATAAGAGTACCGCACAATAGACATTTTTGTGCAACAGTCCCCTATGAAATATGAACATTGCTTTGTTCTTCCTCACACTGCTGTTCTAAGCAATTTGGCAAGGCTGTATAATGCAGATTCAGGCTGTCAGACACATCCCATTCAAAGGGCTCACTACTGATTAAGTCAACTGAAATAGTGCCATTTTCTGTATTCAAAGAAGTGGTGGAACAAAGACCACATGTTTTGAGACAACCAAAACTGATGCCTGACCATTTGAGCACTGGACTCTCAAGTTTCTTCTGCAGATTCAGTCTCCAACAAAAGCAGGACCCAACATGGGCAAGCAATCTCCTTTGGCTAATTATTGGATGACACATGAAATAAAACAAGTTAAAAAAAAAGAATGAAGGTGACATTTGAATAGCACGGTCACCCAGACAGAGTTTGTCTTAGGGAAGAGAAACAGTGCATTTCTAACTTTATATTTCATTACAAATGCTTAATAAAATACTATCCCACTAAAAAAAAAAGCATTCTCCAGTCTGGTTTACTACCAACGTATCATATGTACTTTCAGCTTTTTAAAAAACCTGATTGGCATACAAATGTACAATTACATCATTAATATTTATAAAACCATTTACAGAAGCACAGTACCTCTGTAACAACTCCTGCAGCTATAGTGGATCCCCCATAGCGCAACATAAACCTTCCAAGTTCTTTAAAATCTTTATAAAGTTCCAGAGCAATAGGCCTTTGTGTCTGCAGTTCTATTAAAGCATTCTGTCCTTTAGTCAGACACCTACAAGGGAAAAAATCAAACAGACCTATTAATGCATACGGAGCTAGCTATATTATGATGAAAGAGGAATGCTTGTTTGTGTATGACAGAGTGAGCGAGTGAGAGGTACTCAGCAGAACACGATGTACAAAGATCACTGATTTCCCTTCCCAAGATGGAGATAATTTTTAGAAACGTGTTCAGTTTTGCTCTTAGTCAAATTTAGCGTTGGGTGCTTCTTTCTCTTTCTCAGTTCCCAAGTTCCCATGTATTTCCCCAATAAAGGGAAATAATTAAAAACTCTTTCTATGTTAATATCCTCAAAACCTATTCTTACAGTTCCATAATCCTGAATTTGGTTCTGAGAACAAAAGTACTGAAAGAGGCCAAAGATATTGGCCAGCTAGCCTACGTCACACAAAGTGTGGACAGAGTTTGCCACATGCAGAAAGAATGTGCAGCAAAGGGTTAGGGTTGATACAGAAGTGTTCTCTGAAAGACTTGGTCATCAAATTATTACTTACTTAGGTTTCTTCTTTGTAACTTCACCTGTACTCTTGTGTAGTATACTCAATAACCTTCTAATTGTAGCAGGCTCACTTACAGTTTGAAAATGAAGAAGTACCTGGAACAAAAGTTTTACTTGAATTGACACTTAAAATATAATAAGCAAGTTACAACACACAGTAATTTGTGAAAAAATCCTCCTCCTGGTAAATTTTGCAAAACAACAACAACAACAAAAGAGATTTTGCATGAAAACATTTAGAATTGTAATATAAATGGTTTCTTCGTTTAATTCTGTAATCTATACTGAGACTGGCTTTTTGCCTTTCAATTAGTGCTTTGGTCTACTACCTTGATCATGAATTTGAATCTCCCAGTGATCACTGTCACAAGGAGAGGAAACCTCTCAAGAAACAATAATTAAGACACCTCTCTCCTGTTTCATGACTTACTTAGAGAAGTAGGGAAACCAATATTGTACAACACTCCACTGATGAAATAAATATGATTTCAGCATCCCAGACATGATCAATAAAATATTAAACACAGTACAGGATCTTTTCAAAACCGAAATAGTGTCACACTCACAGGGAATCCTTTGGTGATAGGGACTTCAATATTAAAGATGAGGATCCGAGCTCTAAAACGTGTGCAAGCTTTAATAGGTTCTTTTGGACAACAAAATACACAGCCAACACTGTAAAAGATACAATAGGTAATCAGACTATGTGACAGCTTTGTAAAGACCTTTTCAAACAATCGCATGAACAAATGAGTTTACTTGACATGCTAAAAACTACTCTGGTGGCTCTTTCCCTTCCCACAGCAGTGTGCTGTTTTCCCATGACAAATCCTGTTTTTATCTCCAGGTTGTGTCAGGGTGGGGGGTGGGAGGGCTCCCCTGCAGTTCAGCTTGTTGTCTGGTAGTAACAGTGACCCCAGGAATAATGCTTCTACTATCGCTGATGGCTCTTCAACCATGCCTTCACATAATAAATGCAGTCCTACACTGCAAATAAAAGGTGACCAATATATGGAAATAGTTATTTTATATGTGATGGAAAGCCATCTTACCATTTTTATATAGAGTCAAATGTTGTATAAAATAATGATGACACATATAGTTCTTGCAGACTTCCTGTTTTCACACGTTCTCTAATTCTTTGAGTAACATGGAGAGAAAAAGAAGTCTGGCAGAAGAATCCCATTATGACTATGAACTTTGTAGTTTTCTCTGTGCTGTTCCCTTTTTCTCTGGATACTAGTCACTTACAGCTAATATGAAGAGCAATTATAACCAGTGTTAAAAGCAAAAAGCGTGCTGCTTATATACTGCCCCATAGTGCTTCAAGCACTCTCTGGGCAATTTATAAGTTAATTATGCAGGCTTCCAAACATTCCAATTAACTTCAAAAAATTCTCAAAGGCTTTCACGGCCAAGATCCAATGGTTGTTGTGGGTTTTCCGGGCTGTTTGGCCGTGTTCTTAAAGTTTTTCTTCCTAACATTTCACCAGTCTCTGTGGCCAGCATCTTCGGAGGACAGGCGTCAGAACTCAGACAGAGTTCTGACTCCTGTTCTCTGAAGATGCCGACCACAGAGACTGGTGAAACGTTAGGAAGAAAAACCTTAAGAACACTGCCAAGCCGGGAAACCCACAACAACTTCCAAACAATATGGGTTTTATTCATTTACTTCTAATTCATTCCGAATGAGTTGCAAACAGTGGTTACCAAGGATATGGGTTTGCATCAGTATACACGGATGCAAACACATTAAAGTCTGAAAAAGAATGGTGGTGAATCCAGCCAATGTGAAGAGAGTTTGCATCCACAAGGCTGAACCGTAAAACGCCATCCTATCAGGCCTTTGAGGAATAAACCGCAAAACCTAGAGCTGAGTTTGGGTGGGGATGGTTTCTAGCTGGCTGTGGCTTTCAAGAAATGCTGCTACACATATACAGAAACACAGAAACCAGGTATTTCTCTAATGCTGTAGCCTCTTTGCATTTTCTGTTAAACTTAATCTTCATTTCTGCCTTCTTTTCTGGAGTTCTGTCAACTTTTTTTCCACCTGTCCATCTCACTCAGATGACAGTGGCATTGTGTTCTTTACAGTGAACTTAGTATCTGTGGAGCTAAAATAACTCACAGCAACAAGGAACTCTCCAAAAATAGCAATCTCATATACAACCTATATCTGCGGTATCTCCCAGCACCTTCAGATAAAGTTTTCTCTCTCTTATTAATTTCTTAATTAAATAATTGCCTGATTAGGATTGAGAAAACTAGCATACTGTCTTTTGCATGCAAGACAAGTAATCTGCAAACTTTACAGTTTTATAGATTCAGGTAGCCAACCTCCCACACCCTTCCTCCATAACTGGTAAACCACTAATTATCAAGCACAACGGTCACAAAGCTTCATGTTATATATAAACCGTTGCTTAGACAATGTATTTTCTGCACTCACTTGATTTTGATGATATCCATGCCAGTCAGAGTGAGACTAACGTGATCTCCTGCTGCAGCCCAATCCACTGGCTCATCATGTAGGGCAATTCCTAGAAATGAGTAAAAACATAACTAAGCAGTGAACTACCTTGGTTTAACAGCTTCAAACAGCTCCAGTTTTGCCAGTTCTGCTGCATCAACCACTACACATCAATTTTCACTATGAATGAGGTGATAGTAAAAGCTGTTGACTAAAACCTCAGACAAACAACTTTTTGAGAGCCACCATTATCTAAAGTCATTTTGCTTACTCACAGAGTTTTTTGCAAGTCACAGCATCCGGCCATACGTATGTCAGATTGCGCAGATGTTATAATTTTGAAAGTATGACTACCCAAGAATTTGAGAAGCCTCACATTGATTGCTTTATAAATACCCTTTCCTCACCCTTATATTTGTCTTGGTGACAGCTGCTTTCATTTTTCAATAAATTGTATGTTTATGCATAGTTCAGCATAATGGTGAAACAAATGTATTGCAGTGCAGCGCACTAAACTGTGTAATGGAAAACTCCATTTATTGAAGAATCCCTGCATATCCCTCATATGCAGATAATTAAAGGTCCACATGTCTAGGACCCGGAAGCATCCCTATATTTGCTAATTTAAAAAAAGAGGAAGTGCCTGTGAAGCAATGGTTTGCAAAGTGTTCACTAAATCTAAAAGCATGAATTAAGTAGGCAGAGAACAGAAAAGAAATGGAATATTTGATACATTAAAAAATTTTCTCCCTGTTCGGCATATATTAAAAAACATATACAAGGATACATATTTTGAATTCAAATATAATAAAGCCTAGTAATAAAGTCAAACCTTTTGAAAAAGATATTAGTTCTTCACCTACACGCAATAAAATATAATTTATCAAATAATTAAAGTCAACCAACTAACAGCATGGTATGTGATCCAGTAGAAGCTTATATACCTCTCTAAATCTTTCCCCCACTCCATTGCACAATCCCGAACTCAAAAGTAAGGGAGCCAACTAAATCTGTTTAAAGAGGGGAGTCAGACAACCAGGTGTTACAACTGAGGAGTCTTCTTCCCACATCCCAGCCCAAAACATACACTCAAAATGCAAAGCACAGCGGATTTAATCACCAGAGAGAGAAGGAAGTTTCATGTGAAAAGAAGCAACACTTTAAATATCCTGATCCCAAGTCACTTTAACCTTCACAGGCAATAATCAGCACTATGGGTTGTGTCTGGAAACCAGTGATAAATAATGCAGATGGAACAAAACTAAAGTATCAGAAACCACTCTGGCAGCAGCGGAACTTCCCAAACAGTCTTTGAAGACAATCCTATACAGAAAGTGTTCCAGACTGGATATGATCCACACACACTTAATCAGATGTGCTGTACACAAGAAAGAAAGACAGCAGCCACCTACATCTCCACCTGCAATTCTTCCATCAGAAAACATTACATGATTATCAGCAGGAATTTGACAATCTTGATCAGCAGGTTTGAAAACTGCTTATAGTGCAATCTCAAAACGAGAATATGTATTCTTCTGTACCTTTCACAGTACATGTTTCATTCGGAGGCATTGCTAGCAGTCGATCTCCAACCTGGATATAGCCTGCTTCAATTTTGCCAGTCACGCAAAATCCTGATCCTTGATCTAGAAGAAAACATCTTGGTTTGAGGAAATGAGACAAAGTTGCACACACACGTTCTTGAAATTATACTATACAAGATATATATTTCCATTAACACAAAAGTAGCATAATTAAATTGTCTAACATAATAATGAAAGCTGTTCACTGATTCCAGAAAACTATGATCTGAGCCAGGAAATGCAGTTACTTTAAAGCCAGTGCTGCCTTCTTCCCATTTCTTCCTGCACTGTCTCTCTTTTACCCAACATTGTTAATCAAGGTAAAATATGTGACCATAGTAGGCAAGGCAGTTGTTAATCCAGCATCAGAAACTGGATACTGAACTTTTCTATTTACACAGTGCCTAACAGGTCACACATGGAAACATGTTTCAGTATGTGCATTGAACCTGGTTTGATTGGGATGTCTGGAGAAAATCTACATTTTATACTTTCAATGAAATTATGGCGAAAGTCCTTCTGAATTTCATGGACAACAAAAACAAAACAAGAAGGAAAACAAAAACACTGTGGTTCCTTTCAAACTAAGATATTTATTCCAGTATGACATTTCATGGCTTGCCAACACACTTTTTCAGACCTTTTCTTGGTCTGAAGAAGTGAACTGAAATTCACAAAGCACACAACAATCTTAAAGGTACCACAAAACTTTTGTTTTTGTTTTAGCTGTTGCTGGAACAAATTAACATGGTTGCTTTGCCAACAACTGGATATCAGATGTGTGTACTGTTTAACACTTGATAAGGACCACAGAATATTTTAAGACTCAAGGTGGAGATGTGGGCATGTGCTGATAAAGGATAAATTACAAGCAATACAACTTTATCCTATACAACTTTATCCTAACAATTGCAGCTCCAACCAACAACAGCTTAAGACAATGCATAAGGGATGCTATACCCCTTAGCTAAATGATAACTTTGACATACCTATAGTTTTGTGGAAGCATATGCTGGCAGCCAGAAGAATGAGCAAAATTGTTACATAAGAGGTTTTAATAAATATAGGAAGAAGTGTGTGCAGCCAAGAAGCCAATTTCATTTTAAAAGATATTTGCACAGACTACTTACCTTTAAAAACATCCGACACACATAATCTGAATGGTTTATCCACTGATCGTTGGGGAGGCTTAAAAGAATCTGCAAATATACCAATATGTTCTGTTAATACTTATGCTTTTTGTTTATAGTAATATATATGATGGCCAGAATCTTATTACTTATACCTGCCAGTACAAGTCTATCATTGTAAACATATGTGGCAAACAACCACTAGCTAAGAAGTCAATGTTTCCATTTGTTGTTAGACACCAGAAACATGACAGTGTATGACAACAAATGGAAACTCCACTTTTTTACTAGAAGCAATTCGCCACAAATAGACTTATGCCAGCAGATGTCTTCAGCTGAATTTTGTCCAATGTATTTCTTTCACCATCCCTACAGCATTTTGAAACTGCTCTAAAATCACAGAATTATATACCTACCAATCTGTTCCAGTAAGCATTTTCCTTCGTACCATTTGGTCAGCTCACTAGACTGACTTCTTGTGACAAGATTTTCACCACCAAGACCACTTGTGGGGATATAAGCTACATCAGATTCCTGGATGAGATAAATGTTTAAATTACAATAAGAAAATGGCAAGTCATCCTTTAGTATTATTTCTAAAGTTTTACAATTCAGACTAAGATTCATAGATTTCTTAGGAAAGACAAAAACCAGAAACAACCCTAAGAACTATTTAAGTGACTTGTTGTTTAGTTGTTAAGTCATGTCCGACTCTTCATGACCCCATGGACCAGAGCATGCCAGGCCCTCCTGTCTTCCACTGCCTCCCAGAGTTGGGTCAAATTCATGCTGGTAGCTCCAATGACACTATCCAACCATCTTGTCCTCTGTCGTCCCCTTCTCCTCTTGCCTTCACACTTTCCTAACATCAGAGTCTTTTCTAGGGAGTCTTCTCTTCTCATGAGATGGCCAAAGTATTGGAGCCTCAGCTTCAGGATCTGTCCTTCCAGTGAGCACTCAGGGTTGATTTCCTTCAGAATGGATAGGTTTTTTCTCCTTGCACTTCAGGGGACTCTCAAGAGTCTCCTCCAGCACCACAATTCAAAAGCATCAATTCTTCAGTGGTCAGCCTTCTTTATGGTCCAGCTCTCATTTCCATACATCACTACTGGGAAAACCATAGCTTTGACTATGTGGATCTTTGTGGCAAGATGATGTCTCTGCTTTTTAAGATGCTGTCTAGGTTTGTCATCGCTTTCCTCCCAAGAAGCAGGCGTCTTTTAATTTTGGGGCTGCTTTCACCATCTGCAGTGATCATGGAGCCCAAGAAGGTGAAATCTGTCACTGCCTCCACATCTCCCCCTTCTATTTGCCAGGAGGTGATGGGGCCAGTGGCCATGATCTTAGTTTTTTTGATGTTGAGCTTCAGACCATTTTTGGCACTCTCCTCTTTCACCCTCATTACAAGGTTCTTTAATTCCTCCTCACTTTCTGCCATCAGGGTGGTATCATCTGCATATCTGGGGTTGTTGATAGTTCCTCCGGCAATCTTCATTCCTGCTTGGGATTCCTCCAGTCCAGCCTTCTGCATGATGCATTCTGCATATAAGTTAAATAAGCAGGGAGACAATATACAGCCTTGTCGTACTCCTTTCCCAATTTTGAACCAATCAGTTGTTCCATATCCAGTTCTGTTACTTCCTGTCCCACATACAGATTTCTCAGGAGGTAGATAAGGTGGTCAGGCACTCCCATTTCTTTAAGAACTTCCCATAGTTTGTTGTGGTCCACACAGTCAAAGGATTTTGTGTAGGCAATGAAGCAGAAGGAGATGTTTTTATGTAAGGGCCCTAGCATTTTTGTAATTTATCATGTCCAAATATGCACAAAATGTTCCTTTAATATCTCCAATTTTCTTTAACAGATGTCTGGCTTTTCCCTTTCTATTATTTTTCTCTATATCTTTGCACTGTTCATTTAAGAAGGCCCTCTTATTTAAGCGACTACTGGAAGGTAATACCAGCTCAGCACTATGTAGAGCTCAATACAATTTTCAAAGTGTGTATCATTGTATGTACATGCACACGCACACGCACACACACACCTCTTGTTACGTGTCATATTATTGTATTTTCCAGTGAATCTTGTCTTCTCAAGATGTGACCAAAGTGTGATAGCCTCAGCTTCATCCTTTTTTGTTTCTATAGAGAGTTCAGGCTTGATCTGACCTAGGGCTCACTTATTTGCCCTTCTGACAGTCCACTCTCCCTCCAGCATCACATTTTGAATAAAATGCTTTTTTCCTGTTGGTTTTCATTGATCAGTGAAAACCATACAGTATCTGGGAATACAATAATACAGATGATCTTGGCTTGGCTTTCAGTGAAACCTCCTTATGCTTGGTTAGCTTTTCTAGTTCCTTCATTGCTGCCCTTCCTAGTCTCAGTCGTCTTCTAATTTCTTGGCTGCAGTCTCAGTTTAGATTGATGACTAAAATTCTTTAACAATTTCATTTTCTTCGTTTTCAACACTAAAGTTATATATTTCTTCTGCAGTAATGATTTTTGTCTTCACGAGCAGCATTCCTAGTTTAGAACATTTTCAACACTTTTAGAATGAAACATACATGTAGTCTCCAGGATGAGGAAGACTAAGCACCTAGTACGTATGCATCATTTTAAGGCCATTTGGGAAAACAATGGAGATGGTCACTCCAAAGTCAGCTTTTTAACTCAGTCATCTGAATGTTACATTAAGTTCTTTACCTTAAAGCCAGCTTGCTTAAGGAACTGGCCAAGTTTACTGACAATCTCCTGAAATCTTTCCTGTTGCCAACTGACCTATAATAAAAGGGAGAGAGAGCGCGAAACAAAAAAAATATTATTAGGAAATTAAGAGGGCATTTGGAAATAATCCTCATTGCAAATGAAAACTTGCTCGCAAAGCATCAAGAGTTAGCTGAATCAAGTAAACCCTTTACTAGAAATAGCAACTATTTCCCTCAAATACATTTATCAACTGGCAAAAAAGTAAAAAGAAACATTTGAAAAACAATAACCCAACCTGTGTTTTACTCAGAAACCATACAGTATATGATTACTTTTTGGGGAATAAAATAACTCAGTTTTAAAATGTAAGATGGTAAGTTTTAAGGCAAAGATTTTTGAAATAATGCTGTAGTGATTAGAAGACTGCTGCTGTGGTGAAGGTCCAACCAGGGAATGTAGTTTTTTGTGATCTCCCTTTTAAACATAATTGTACCATATTTCCCCCAAAATAAGACCTAACCTGAAAATAAGCCCTAGTATGATTTTTCAGGATGCTCTTAATATAAGCCCTACTTCAGAAATAAGCCCCAGTTAAGTGAAACTCCACCCTCCACCATTGTGCAGCAACCAGAAGATGACATGACAGCAACTGAATAAATGTAGATTGTTGTACATGAAAAAATAAAAATAAAACATCCCCTGAAAATAAGCCCTAATATGTTTTTGGAGCAAAAATTAATATAAGATCTTGTCTTATTTTTGGGGAAACATAGTATAAATGGATGTAAAAAAATACTCTTTTGCTCTCTAGATTTTTACCTTTTCTCCACCTGCACCAAATTCCCCCACCTGTACTCCAAATCCTATCCCTATTGAAAATGAATAAAAATTACAAAGAAGATGACGACTGCTGCTGTGACTGCAGCAAACCCAAGTTTAAATGAGACGCTGAAGAAGCAAGCTCTTGTTCTTATTGCAACCTACCTCATAGGATAGTTGCAAGCAACAAATAAATAAATACATGTTACAAATAAATTACAAGGTTAAGGCATGTATACAAGTCCCTATATGCCTTTACTAGCCAGTGACCCACAAAAGGTTGGATTTCACCTCTCTCCTCCTGCCGTGGGCCCTTATATCCCCCAAACACCACTCATAAAGATTCTGTGACCCTTGGGACAGCATGTAATGTGACGCAGAAGGATCCAGCAGAGTGGGAAAACCTGTGGAGCTCAGAGGGAGGGTCACACTGAGTCAGTGAAAGTACTTTCCACCCTTGCAAGGCACTATCTAAATACATTTGAGGACAAGTGAACATGCATCTGTTATGTGCAATCAAGTTGGAACTCATTTACAGCTACCCTAATTCAAGACAAATGAGATATTTGAGGAATGGCTTTACCAGTTTTTCACCCCCAGTGAGCTTCGATGGCTAAGCAGGGATTCAAACCCAGGCTTCCTGAGTCCTAGTACATCCCTCTATCAGTTACACCACACTTGGTATCAAACATGCACAGGATCAGATATTATATGTACTGTACTGTGCAATACAGAGTATGCATTGACACCTTCATGGTGGATGCTCTATCTCAATGAAACTGACAAGGAACATACAATGGTGCCTCACTTTACGACTGCCCCGCATTATGTCGAAACCGCTTAACGACGATCTTTTTGTGATCACAATTGCGATCGCAAAACGATGGTCTGAATGGGGGAATTTCGCTTTGTGATGATCGGTTCCCTGTTTCGGGAACTGATTCTTCACAAAATGACGTTTTTCAAACAGCTGATTGGCGGTTTCAAAATGGCCGCTGGGTGATTAAAATGGCTCCCCACTGTGTTTAGGGACGGATTACTCGCTATACAGGCAGCGAAAATGGCTGCTGTATGGAGGATCTTCGCTGGACGGTGAGTTTTCACCCCACTGGAACACACTGAACGGGTTTCAATGCACTTCAATTGGGTTTTTATTTTCACTTTATGATGTTTTTGCTTAACTGTGATTTTCCTGGAATGGATTATCGTCGTTAAGCGAGGCACCACTGTAAATGTTCCTAAATATGTTGCAGCAGTGGAGCTTAACAAAATGGAAGTGCATATCAAAAATTGAAGCACTTTATATATTCTGTAGGAACAAGACAAAGATTTATTGAGTTCTAGGAATACATGGATGGGTTTTATATCTACAGAGCACGTTGTTAACAATAACACAGAATCACACATTAAGGGTTCCTGTAAAATTACAAGGATTTAATTTCTAGGAAAGAAAAACTGACTCTCCATACTTTTGGAATATCTTTTCAGACCAAGATGCTACACCTGGAAATCCAATCCCAGTTTGTAGTATCTACAAACTCTGTGCGTATGTTCTGCCCCTGTGTATTTACGAGAGAGAGAAAGAGAGTAAAAGTTAAGAAAATTGGGGGGGATACCTGATCCATTTTATTGACAGCAACTGCCAGCTGTGTTACTCCTAGAGATCGAACCAACAGGCCATGTTCTCGTGTCTGTCCACCTGTTTCAAATCCTGCTTCAAACTCCCCTCTGCTGGCATCAACCACTAATATCGCCACATCAGCCTATGGAAGGACAATGGTTGTTAAAGTGTATTCAATGATTTTGTCAACCACAAGTAATACAATGCCTAGCCATTTGTTCTAGAATGCCAGTTCCTTTCTTATTTTGTGAAAAACATTTGTGTTCCAACAGCACAGTTACATCCATCATGTTGAGAGAGCAAAAAATTATAAAAGTTCACAATGCCCTCCCCCAACAACAGAAATGTCAGAAGAATATTTTATTCAATTTAATCATTTCAACAAAAAGTTAAACTAAAAGGAGAATGCTAAAGCACTGTAAAAATCAATTCAATAGATGATCACTTCATTTCAAACAGATTCTATTGGCATTTTTTTTACCTGCGCAGCTCCTGTGATCATATTTGGAATGAAGTCTTTATGGCCAGGAGCATCCATCAATGTGATAATTTTTGTTTTTGTCTCAAATTTGGTCATACCTACATCCATTGTTACTCCCCTACAAATAAAGCACAGGTGTTAAATGTTCTACTTACACTCATTCCCATAGTTTGCTACATATATTAACTCTGGATAAGCTAAAGCTAAAAATCATCCACATACCTTTAGATAAAAATAATCCGGACAAAATGCTTTATCCAAATGGAAGGTCAGCATCCAAACAGTGTTTGGGACCCTGTTATCTGTCACAGTACCTGCCCCAAAGAATATCTGCCCCACACTTCCCAATCCATCCATGGCAGTCTCCTATAGGTGATCACTTCAAGGGAGGCAAAGAAGGCATCCACGAGGAACCAGGCCTTCCAGGTAGTGGCCCCACAGCTTTGGAACAACTTTCTCATAGAGATCCATCAGGCCCCCTCCCTCACAGCCTTTAAGAAATTCCTTCAGTCTCTTTGAGGAGGCCTATAGAGATATTTCCCTTCCCACTTTATTTGGAGCATGGCTTAGCCATCAAACATCTACTGTATTTGCCGGCGTACAAGATGACTTTTTTGGCCCAAAAAACATGCCTCCAAATGGGAGAGGGGTTGTCTTGTACGCCGGGTACACTTCATTTGGGCCAGGAAGGAGCTGCTGCCGCTGCCGCTGAGTGAGTGATGCGGGGCTACACCGGCCGGAGAGGAAGGCAGGCAGGCAGGCAGGCGGTCGGTCCGGATGGAGGGAGGGAAGCAGAGCTGGCCATGCCTGAGCGGCCAGAGCCCACTGCCCCGCGCCGCTGAGCCAGCTCGCCCGCTCGCCACTGGAGAGCTGCTTCTCCTTCCCCTCCTCCTCCTCCGCTGCCCGCCTGCCCACTTGCTTCCCTTTCCTTTCCTTCTCGCCCTCCTTGTTGCGACCATGAATTCTATATTTTGAGTGGAAATGTTGGGAGGTCGTCTAATACGCCCAGTCGCCTTGTATGCATGCAAATACGGTATGTTATTTGTTTATATTTGGGATTGTATTGGGACTAGGTTAAATTTGGTTTGTTAAAGATATGGATTTGGGTTTGCTGTTATTTGGAGTGTTATGTATACATAACTGGGTGGTTTACAAATGCCTGCCAGAAAGGAAGGAAGGAAGGAAGGAAGGAAGGAAGGAAGGAAGGAAGGAAGGAAGGGGGGAGGGAAGGAAGGAAGGAAAGAAGGAAAGAAAGAAAGAAAGAAAGAAATTGTGAGAATCACACCAAGAATGATGAATAAAAATTTACTGAACTGCCATCTGTACATGTCAGAGCACACCCAAAACCTTCCACACCGAAAGGAAAACCATCTCTAGGCTGACTCACCACATAAAACTAGTTATATAATTCTGCTACAAAGAAGGATACATACATCCCAAAAGCAATTCACAATTACAAAATCAATATTTGTCAAACTGTGTTTAAAGCACCCATAAGTTCCTTAACAGGCTATTCAAGAGAGAAAATATTATCCGTACACAGTGAATTTGCAAAACCACTGTCCTACACATGAACACCTGCTTTCACAATAAGGGGTTTAACAGTTGTGAAAATCATAGCATTGACTATAACTATCAGTTAAAAATATGATCACATTTGTTCATGCTTTACTATTTAATTTACAATACTTCAAAAATATATTGCTATTACTTTTGTCACTATTGCTGATAATAATAACTCAAACCAAAACATACTGTTTACCTCTCTCTTTCTTCTCCTGTTTCATCTAAGACCCATGCGTAAGCAAAGGATGCTTTCCCAGCTTTCTTGGATTCTTGTTCATACTTGTGCATAGTTCGCTTGTTCACATGTCCCAGGAGATACAGCAAATGACCCATTAGAGTACTTTTCCCTGCATCAACATGTCCTAAGAATAAAAAAACCTCTTTATTATTATCACTGATGCAAAGATGTTAGAAGCCATACAACACCTGAGGGAAATAAAAGGAACTATTTGCATGTATTAATCTCATTTTTACAGAATATTACCTATTACTACAAGGTTAAGCAGATGTTTTCCTCCCTGCCTCTTCTCCAGTTCAGCTTTCACATCTATTTGTTGTTTTGCTTTTCCAGACCTTTTTACCGGAGTTGGTGCAAGTGTTGATTCTTCTGATGCTTGGACGGTCTGGGACGGAAGAGTTGGTTTAGGTAGAATCTCAGCTGCTCCCAAACTGGCATCAGCATCGCCAGCTGACAGGCCTTTTTGTGATATTAAAGTGCTGTGACCATTCTCTTCTACTGTCACACTAAAAAAAGCAGAGATAGTGTTCAAGAGAACAGACGTTCCAGGTATTATTGAACAAAAGAAAGTCAATATTATACATTCCTTAAAACTTCAGAGTAAAAGGCATCAAGTGACAGGATGGCCACAGATAGTTGCTCACCACAGCATGCACATAACCACCTAGATGAGATCCAAACCTGAATCAAGATTCACCTCACCTCTATGCAGAACCATTCAGAAAACCTTCCAATGGTTTGGGAGGTACCATGCTAAATGATCATCTGCCGATCATCTGTATGCACTTACTTAAATGCTCACATTATAATATACAGTGTTGCCTCGCATAATGAGCGCACCGTTTAACAACGAATCCGCATAGCGATGCATTTTTTGTGATGCTAATGCGATCACATTGCGATGTGATCACATTGTGATGGCAGCTGGATCAGCAAAATGGCTGTCCGCAGCGTTTTTGCGCCCTGCCCTCGCTTGCCGGGCAGCAAAAATGGCGGCCGGATGGGGGAATCTTCGCTTACCGGTGAGTTTTTCCCCCACAGAGTTTAATGCATTCCTATGGGGTTTTTCCCCTGCATAGCGACGAATCCGGATAGCGACGTTAATCCTGGAACGGATTAACGTCGCTATGCGGGGCACCACTATATAAATGTTTAAATAGGGTTGCAAAAATGCTTCCTAAATTTTTCATTTTTGCTGCTTTAAGCTGCCTTGACTAGACAAGATTCTGTGGTGAGCAACTTTCAAGCTTCCCAGTATTCCTCATCTCCATGCAAGATATGGAGTGGTACTTCTTATCAGTTCTTCTGTAATTTGCACAAAAAGTTAAAGGCCTAGCTGTGTAGCCAAAGTTCAGCTAGTACAATGTTCTTTGCAAGAATGCCAGCAATGAACAGACAAGGATGGTTTATGAAAAATATGGTTAAGAGGAGTGAACCGCATTCAATCTTCCACTCACCCCTGTTCTACAGCATCAAATAAGGGAATAAGCACAAAATGAAAAGTACTCTGTATAGTGAGAACAATGTTACATACCATCCCTGTCGAACACTGGCACACTCCTACATTTTTGTGTTCCAACTCTGCTTGGAATGCTGATAAGCACACTAGGCCCAAGATTTAGAGGGACCAATGCTGACCAAAACTGAAACACTCCCCAGTTCAGTTCTGCACACAGATTCATCTTTAGCATTCAATTTGTGGTCATTCACATTGTCTGGCTAGCAAAAAAAAAGTCTCTAGATGTCACCACTGCTTCATCTGATGGCATATATTATATAATAACAAAAATAGTTTCTGGTATCTTCTGCAAATTCATTATACAACCGTGTAAACTGTAGTTTATTACAGTTTGATCTGTAGGGCTCAATTTTCATACAGAACAGATAAAGTTGCATTACGATGAGAAAGGAAGAAAGACTTCCTGAAAATATATCTGTCACTATAACAATCATCCAATCAGAAAAAATGTTCTAAAACCACAAATGGGGGGGGGGAGATGTTGGAACACAACTAGGTGTCTATTACTTCTACCGCCACGGACCCAAAATAACTGCTGGAGAGCTCAGTGGTTTAGGCATTTGGCTGCGGGGCCAAAGGTTGCGAATTCAATTCCTCCACTATGCCTCCTTGACAAGGGCTAGACTTGATGATCCAGAGGGTCCCTTCCAGCTCTGTGGTTCTGAGATTATTTTATTAAAATTCAGTCACTGGCATTTGTCTGCTTTAAAATGTTATCCAACAAAGCAGAGGGAGAAAAGTGTGCCCTCAGATCTCTTTCCTCTGATCCATCCGTAATTATAAAAATAGCGGACAATGGTAGTGCCACAGTTATATAAAATACCAGTGACTATAAGCAGGACATTCTTAGACAACTGTCAAAACCATGTGCATATGACCCCACTAATGAAATCATTAAAGGGTTTAAGTCTGGGTTGCATCAGTAATACTGAATATACCGTATTTTTCGCTCCATAAGACGCACCTTTCCATAAGACGCACCAAATTTTTTAGGAGAAGAAAGCAAGTAAATATAATCTGTTTTCTTTGCTCCATAAGACGCACAGACTTTCCACCCCCCTGTTTTATGGGGGGAAAGTGCGTCTTATGGTGCGAAAAATACGGTAAATTTCTGCTTAACAATATCCCCGGAATACCGGTTTTCTATACCTTACCCAAGATTCATAAAGCAAATAATCCATTGGCAGGAAGACCCATAGTCTCAGGATCCAAGTCAGTCTTGAACCCCTATCCAAATTTATTGATCATTTTTTGAAACCAGAAATATCATTGTAGATTCAGGACTCTAGAGATATGGTTAATACATTAGAGGCAGTCATAATACAAGAAAAGAATATATTAGTTACTCTGGATGTAAGATCATTATACCCCAACATACCTCAGGAAGAAGCCTCAAGAATATTAAGAATTTTATTTAGACAAGAGAGTGGAGAGACATTTACCAACCTTTTTCCTGCATTCACTAGTTGAGACAGCCTTGAAAAGGAGCTGTTTTAAATTTAATAACAAGTTTTATTGCCAAATAAAAGGAGCGGCCATGGGATGTGCCATGGCCCCAGAAGATAAGATGCATTCTGGAAACCACCTTTTTGAAAATAATTTAATCAAATAGTTCAGATACACAGATGATGTCTTCATGATTTGGAGAGGGAGTTTATTGGAACAATTCTTTGGATGTTCTTATTATAACTCTACCCAGCCACAAGGACCAGCGATCACTGAAAACAAAAGACCAGCTAACGACACCCATCAGTCACAGTGACAGATCATATCTCCCCCTTATCACAACAATACACCCACAACAAAAAACAACCTGATCACAATAATCACACAATCTCCTGAAAAGGACAAAAAGCTGATCCCACAGCTATAAATACTTAACTATCCCACAAACTGCACCAGAGCACAGACAGAGTTCTGACTCCTGTCCTCTGAAGATGCTGGCCACAGAGACTGGTGAAACATTAGGAAGAAAAGCCTCAAGAACACGGCCAGACAGACCGAAAAAACTACAACAATCATTGGATCCCGGCCCTGAAATCCTTCAAGAATACAATTCTTTGGATGGTTCAATAACCTGGATAGCAACATTGACACTAATTATAAATATGACGAGATATTTTTTTAAGACCTCACTATCAAGAAAGAATCAGAAAAGTTGCTCACAAAGGTACACAGAAAACCAACAGATTCTAACACCTATTTGAGGTTTGATAGCTCTCATCCTAGATCTCTACATCAAAATCTCCCATATGGTTAATTTTTAAGAATGAAAAGGAACTGCACTAAGAGGAAGGATTTTGATCAGTAATCTCTAATATTGAGAAATCAGTTAAGAGACAGAGGCTACCCACATGAGGTCATAGATAGTAGTTTTGCTAAAGTCAATAATACCAGACACAGTGATCTTCTAAAGAAAAACAAAACAAAAAACCCAAAAATCATGTTAACTGTGTTCTGACAAATGATCATGTCACTAACAAACTACGTACAGAAATGCATAAAGAGGCACTGACAGATCTTACAAAGTATAGAATGGTTTCAAGAGGGAGTACAGGTATCATTCAAAAGAACAAGAAACCTAAGGGATATGTTAGTAAAGAATGAATTTAAAGACAGAATACCATCACAAATCCCAAGGATTCTACCTGGTTCTTCCCCTTTCACAGGACACTATCCCTGTGGACATTGTGCCTATTGTAGAAATACATATCATATGATAGAATTTAAAGATGAACAGAATGGCAAGATATACATCCTGAAGATATTCACCAACTCCAATACTAAGGGAGTGATCTATGCCATAAGCTGTCCTTAAAACAAATTGTATATAGGGAAGATCTCTAGACCTCTTAAGACAAGGATAGGAGAACATGTGAGTAATTGAAGAAATAGTAGACTGGGTAGTCCCCTAGTCAACCACCTCACAGAATTCAACCACACAATAAGACAACAAGATATTTAATATTCTGGGTTGTGCATATGGTTCTTGTTAAGCATGAAAGGTCCTTACTGAGGAGGGAGATTGACTGGATATTGAGGTTGAACACTAGCCCCTATAGGGCTAAATGAAGCAATAGATTTCTTGCCCTTACTATAGCACAGCCCCCACTGCCTTGCTGATTATCTCACTGTCCTTGACTCATCTGCCCACTGAAAATAAATAAATACTATTCCTTTTGCATTTGCGATTTGGATTAATGTTGGAGCTGGTATAAACCAAATGAGTAGCAAAAGTTCTAAAGCTTGGTGTGTGTCTTATGTGCTGTCATTAAGCTGTACTAGAGTTTATGTATCTCGTTGTATGCATATTTATCAATATTTTCTATTGTTAACTACATAGACAAGAAAAAAAGCTGTAACTGCCCCGAGCCAGCTGTTTCTAAATTAATATAATTTTTATTTAATTTTTGTTTAGCTACTTAAAAAGGCCATCACCGAAACGTGTCAAGCCTGAGCTTTTTAGATAAGAATAAAATTTGAATTGGTACCATTTTTATACACCTTGAGACTCAGTCTTCCATTTGTACTTTTAAAATGTTATCCAGCCTAAATTGTACAGAAAGTTACATACATTTATGGGAAGACTAGCATAATATTGGCAAACAACCAGAGCTACTCTGCTATCCTTAAATCTAACAATTTTCCATAATCCTGTCTATTCATATATTCATAAAACTCGAATTTTATCTTTTTCTAAAAAAATACATGCAACTTTTGAAGACCCCAAGAAGGAAGTGTGTAAGGGGAAATATATAGCAAAATAGACTGTAAACTCTGTCAGTTTTTTTCCCACCAAATCTCAACCAACAATCAAGGTAAGAGGCTAATTTTCCAGCAACTATTCAACATTTCCACATACCAAAATATGTAGAACATCCTGAACAAAATAAAAAACATACACTGCAACAAAGACAAGCAATCTGACCGAATTACAACTTTAAATAGCTTATCAACTGGAATATCAGTAACAATTGTATTTTCTTTGTTCTTTAACTTACGTTACCATGGTTATATTTCTGCTTGTGCTGGAAATATGAAAATACAACAAAGATGAAGGACTTGCTTACAGGCATCTTATTCTTTCTGAAATGTGATATATCAAGGTTTGTTAGCTCCTTACTGTAGGAGCTAGCAACTAGTGGCCTCTGAGCAAAAGGTCTACCTACATCTAACTGGTCTTCAACAAGACAACTGTCTCTCTTTCCATTCCTCCTTCATTTCTTGAAACAGAGACTTATGGCAAAATGTTAAATATGGCAGGAAAGGGAGAGACTCAGGGGGAAATGTCCCACTTCCATTTCAAAATAATCTTCCCATTTCTAACTAGCCCTAAAGGGGAAATGGCACCACCAAGCCATCATGAGGCATATTAGTTTGAGCATTAAGTTTCAAATTACAGTATATTAAGCTAAAACTTTATACAGTGGTGCCTCGCGCAATGGTCGCTCCGTAGAGCGACGAATCCGCGCAACAATGCCGTTTTTGCGATCGCAAATGCGATTGCAAAACGGCACCTAGATAGGGGGAAAATCACAGAGCGAAGGGCGGTAAGCGGTTCTCGTACCGACCTTCACTTTGCGCCCCACTCATCAGCTGTTCGGCGGGTCCAAAATGGCCGTCGCACCCCCCAAAATGGCCGCGCGCAGCGTTTTCGCGCCCTCGTTCAGCGAGGGGAGGGCACGAAAATGGCTGCCGGCCATCCAAGAACATCGCACAACGGTGAGTATTCGGCCGAATTGGAACGCATTAAACACTGTTTAATGCGTTCCAATGGCTTTTTACTTTCCATTCAGCGATATTTCACACAGCGAGGGTTAATCCGGAACGGATTAACCTCGCTGTGCGAGGCACCACTGTAGGTCCTATGCTATGTGCTATTTTGTTGCAATACAATCCAAGTGAAGAGTGGGCAAGCCCTGACACTATAACATGGCTACAGTTAGATCACTGTAAAGCAGGAATGGGCAAAGTGCACTTCTGAGGGCATATCCCCCACCCCCCAATATTTTTACAAAACATTTTTGCTCAAAACATCCCCTGGGACATGGGGGGGGGAGACATTCTGCCAAATGTTGGCCCTCCTCAAAACATTACCCTCTTCACAGCTCGTCATCCAAAATATAATCCAATATTTTTTAAAAAATTGGCCACCTGAGGGTGTGAGGGGGCTTTTTCAATATAAATGCCCCTTTAAAGTAAATTGTTTTCCAGGTGGGCAGGGCAGGGCATCCACCACTGCGCTCCAAGGTCTAAGGGTGTGCATGTGTTGCCCTTAAATCTCAAGTTCTACAATGACTCTATAGTCAGATCACCTTATAATAAACTCGGTCTATAACACTGCTAAACATATAGAGAATTCAGTACATCAGGAACAGGTTTTGAACACTGTCCAAGGAATTCTGGAAGCTGTTGTCCAAAAAAGTAACTCTGTCTAGCTACAAATTTGCAGTTACATTTGTAAGTAAACTCCAGGAAATACAATAATCTGTGTGATACTGCCAGCTGTTCTGTCCATACTACTCAGAGTGAAAGGATTTTTAAAATTCACACATGAAAGGTGTCTTCTTCTGAAAATAATTATGAGTCAAACAAGAAATAGCTGCTTAGTTCTGTGGCATATTTAAAACACAATCTTTGTAAAAATGGACCGGAAGGAAAATCTTGCTACAGGTGCATCATCTGAAGGAAGAATATGCAAGTGAACTTTGAGAGGATTAAGGTCTTACCATGGAACTTCAAAACCAGTAGCTTGTTTCTTTCCAGATACAGTCATTTTGGTAACTTTTGGCACAATATCAGATTCAATTCTAGTTGTCTGGAAATCTCTGACTTTTCCTGGTGAAAAGAAAAATATTACTTATACCACCACAACAATCAAGCAAGCATTCAGCATAGTCAGATGCAATCATGGACAACAGATAATAACTTCAACTCTAAAGAAAACACGTACTAGTTCTAGTTCCTAAAAGAGTGCCTTCTACAACTATCAACATTTGGAACAGAAGCTATATCTGCAACAATGAGGATACAGCATTGAAATCTCAGAGTCTAGCAGGTATTTTAATTTTCCCAGAATATCAAAACAGACATGCCTCTAATTTTTAACTAGAATGCTTGTTTGTTACCAGAACTCTAGTACTGTAATCATCTACCAAGGATTTTTAATCCCTCTCCAAACTACAAATCTCAAGATTGCATAGGATGGAGCCACAGCAGTTAAAATGTCAGACTGCTATAAGTATGTAGTGTAAATACATTCAGTAGCAACTTTTATTGGCTTAAATCCCATAGAAAGTTGGAAGTACAGTAGGTACACTGAATCAACAGAATTTATGGGACAGCTGACTCACCCAATTCCCACTGATTCAATGGGCCTACTCTAGTTGCAACTGGAGGCGTTCAAGAGAAACTTAGACAACCACCTGGCAGATATCCTTTGGTTGTTGTGGGTTTTTCGGGCTCTTTGGCCATGTTCTGAAGGTTGTTCTTCCTGACGTTTCGCCAGTCTCTGTGGCTGGCATCTTCAGAGGACTGGAATAGGAACTCTGAAGATGCTGGCCACAGCGACTGGCGAAACGTCAGGGAGAACAACCTTCAGAACACAGCCAAAGAGCCCGAAAAGCCCACAACAACCATTAGATCCCAGCCGTGAAAGCCTTTGCGAATAGATATTCTTTGATTTATATTCCTGATCAAGAAGGGCGCTGGTCTTATAGGCTCCTTCAAATTTCACTATTCTATGATTCTATGATTTGATTTTGACTATTGAGTTATTGAAGCTGCTCTGCTTTCACAGAGTATCTTCCTACTCATTCATATTATCCAGAGTTAGAATGCAAAGCTCTTGCACTCCTACAGCTGTCTTACTGGATACATTTTTACTTTTTCCCATAATGCTGAAAAATAAGTATGCTACTTATTTCCAGACATCTGCAGGCTTCTAGATTTGTGAATTTCTGCAGGTGCTTTTGCAACCACTCAGATCATGCTAGCCAGAAGAACTAGAGAGCCCCTTGGTTACATGGGAAACCTGCTGGCAAACTCTCTCAAGGCAAACAGAGAGAGGGAAAGAAGAAGAACTTTCCAACGGATGGGATGAAACTTTAGTTCCTAGCTTGCCTTTATCTCCTAAATTTCACGCTACAATCTCCAACTTTTGTGCTATCCTAAACATTATATTCTTTTAATTTTTAGAAAAAGTCTGGAATATTTCAACTGTTGGAAACAGTATGAAACACAATAGTATATTTAATCTATTTGCATAACTTATTCCAATTACAGGATGCGAATCTCTTTGGTCCAAATTTTCTTTAGTTGACCCAGGCCACAACAGCTTTGACAGTATTTTATCTTCTGTACATTCCATTTGTATTTCTTGGTTTACCTACTTAATCTGGCGTGTAGACTACACCAACGGTATGTTTCAACACAATAAAATGTAATAATATATTAATGAGTATAGTGCATAAGATACAGGAATGCACCTCTTATCCTGTGCACCTATGCTGCCTTCTATATTCTCCTCTAGATTTTTACACTTTATGATGAGACATGGACTCACACAAGCCACTCATTTACGTTTAGCTTTTGCACGCTGTTTTAGAATGATTCCCCACGTACGAACAAAGAGTTATTTAGAAAAAGGTTATTTCCTAAATAGGAGTTACTTAAGGGAATTTCCAAGCAAGCCCTGTTGCTTTCAACTATTGCTGCTGCTTTTTAAAGCTTAAGAGATTGGTCATACACTGTAATTTCTTGTCAAAATGAGCTGTTCTGGGTCCCCAAGGAGGCATCAACATGTGCATATGTTTTGTAGAGTAGCAGCCAGTAACAGTTTCAAACCGATAGCAGTTTTCAGTCTCGCAACAGCCACATTAACCAAGAGCCATCTGGGCCACTGAACATGCTTATCACGTAAGTGAGCATTCAAGACCTCTTGTATAGGAAAAAATGGCTTGTGGCAATTTAAAAGTCTGTTTTCAAGGTTTGAAAATCAAATACAACGCTGCTAAAAGCAGTATTCATAGACTATACGTAGATAAAAAGAAAATTGTTCCAGTTTTTCCTGAAGTAACACAAAGATGAGAGGACTAGTCCTCTCTTCTGTGGAATCCACAACCCATCCAAGTAAAATGCAATTATTTTAGAAGTGTGCAAATGCACTGCCCTCTGAAATCATTCTCTTAAATGCGTACATTTTCCCAGTAAAATTTTTTAACTGGAAGCAGAAGGCACAGTGCTTATGAAAAATGAACCAATTACATATAGTACTTCAATATCATCTGGAAGAGCTATTTAAACAGTTAAGGGCCAATTTGACACACATGAAATTCATTTGTCCTATGCAACTGATGGAAGCATAGTGCTGCCCTGGTTACTAAAAAAGAAAGGCAATGCAAACAGAGTAACACAAAATCAGGCATTGTTGCCTCCTATAACCTATATTTAACCTATATATAACCTATATATAACCTATATTTTTGCCTTCTGCCTGGCTCATGAGATTTTTCTTCTCTTGAATCTTCACTGTACTGCAACATTTGAGTCATCACTGAAGATTTTGTGGAAAATGTAATACACTAAAATAAAAATTGTGCAATGAGATGAAAATCAAAACCTGTCCCCCACTTCCTTCTCCGACACATAACAAGAATATAGATGGAAAAGCAAGCAAGGAGCACACAAAAGAACAGATGAGAGCAAATAAAGCTCCCAAGGGGAACAGGTTGAAACAGGTGTAAAATTTAACTGTAGTAGTTCAAAGTGTTCATGTAATGTAACATAACGTCCCCAACTTGGTGTCTTCCTGCAGTGTCAGATGACAACTCCTATCATCCCCAAACAGCATGGCCAACTGTCAATGGTTATTGAAAAAAATCTGCTATGAAAAGGTAGCATAAAGTGTACAATTCAATGTCATTTCATGAGAAATGTTACCTCAATTTTATTAATTCATTTTTGTTTTCGAGAACAACAGTTTGCCAATTACTTATATGCTGTATAGTTTTGTTTGCTGTTTCCATACAAAGTCTCTGTTCATTTGATTCTCACATTCTGCAACCACCACAACTCTGCTTGTGGTGTCTTCCTATTCAACGTATTTTGAGAAATGACTTGGTGTGTGTTTCATTGACAATCAAGGAAAACATTCTGCAATGAAATGCAGAGGTTACTGACCATAAACAGGCACATAAAAAGCAGTGTCAGCACTAAATATGGGATACCCCAAACAGCATTTCTCAACTAATCGGTTAACCTAACCTGAAAGTTTATGTCGTCCAAAGTAACGTTCCACACAATTAATAGATTTTCTGTTGGGCCTCTGGTTCATTATGAGTATGTAAAACTGAAAGTACTACATGTACAGACCAGGTACTTTTACTGCAACTTAGTCATGTTTCCAGAAATGAAATAACATCAAAAATCAAACCTGATGTTACCATACCAGAGGATGGTGCTATTACCCAGTCAATTGCTAGTGTGCTAAATCCAGAACTAAACTATAAATGTTCAAATCCCTGCAGCACCCACCAAGTTGCTGCCCTAAATCAGAGGTTGGACTGCAACACACAGCATCCCCCACCGGTGAGACACAGCATTTCCTATTCCTGCCCTAAATTAATGTGTCTGAAATAACTCTTCATTTAAGCCCTTATGGCCAGAAATAAAATTACATGAAGATATCTTTTAGATAGGGCTTTCCTATTCTGCAAGAAAGCAGCATTAGCTTGAAAACAAAATGTCAATTATAACTTTGCTTTTAATAAAAGTCGCAATAATAAGATGCCTGAAACTGGATCCCTATATTAGTGTCACTTGCGGTTAAAATCAACAAAGGGGCTGTTACACCACCCATATCACGGAAAGATCCTTGCCAGTCACTTAAGGATAACTTCAGCAGCAGTATCTGAATGATTTAGAACCCTGAGTATGATTATTTCATTGATGGATTAATAGTCTACAGCCAAAGGTGTTAGGGACACACATAGGAATGAGGTCCGTCTTTCTGTCTTTCATTTCCAAATTGTGTGGATAGTCTACAAAGTCAGAATATCCCAGTTGCTGAAAGTATCTCTCAACATATGGATGTCTAGAGCGAGCCATATGGCCCTAAATGCATGAGCCCCCAGACTATTTGCATTTTCACTAAAATGTCTTCATAGAGCTAGTAGACAGTGAACATGGAAGCTCATGCTGAGTTTTCTGCCTCACAATCTGTAACTCCAATTTACTGTGACGTTATAATTAAACTTAACATTATGCTTTTGTCACCATAACATGGAGTGGTTGATGTAATGCAGCATAATCATTAAACTGTTAAACTGGTATTGGATAACCATTATACAGTAAAACTATTAACACAGGTGAAAAACATTAGTTAAAAGCTATGAAGGAGTTATATCTCTGGCTGCTGTGGAAACCTATATATGTAGGAATCAGGAATTCTGGCCTGCTGGTTGGATTAAGTCTACAAGACTGTCCATTTGGTCTTTCAGGAGTTAAGGGTCTTCCTCCATAAAGCTCAAATTTCTCTTCAAAAAGCTCAAGTGGCATTAGCTGGGACAAAATGAGCACTCTCCTAAGCAGCCATCACTTCAAAATGCTTGAAGCCATGGCTACTGAGAAACCCAGTTTTGCATGCTTGTCGCCTTTGGAGAAGGCAAGAGATGCATGGAGCCAGCTTTCTCAGGAGCCACCACCTCAAAGTTCCTATGTACTCTTTACTTCTTTTACAGTGGTGCCTCACTACTAGACCATAGCCTCGCGGGACGAAAAACCCGCAAGACGACTGGTTTTTGCGATCACTATGGTGCCTCGCAAGATGGTTTTTTCTA